GAGGCCAGCAAGGGTGGAGGGCAGACCCGTGCCTGTCTAATGCAGGCAAGAAGCCTTCCCCCACTGCAGGCCTGCCTAGGCCCCATCCAGTTCTAATTGGCACTATTGACATTTGAGACCAGGTGATTCTTTGTTGTAGGAAACTGTGCATTGTAGGCTCGTTGGCAGCGACTCACTAGAGACCCACAGCTGTCTCTCAGCTGTGATAGTCAAAAATGTCTCCAGATATTGCCCATTTTCCCTTGGGGAGCAAAATCACACCCACTCAAGAACCCCGCTCCAAAGGCAGAGCGTGACTGGCACTGTCAGTGGCTCCATGGCCAAGGCAGCCAGGATGCAGAGCATCTGCCCTGGCAGATGGATGGGTCGGCACATGGCAGAGACAGTGGCAGCTGGCCAGCTGCAGACAGCCTGGCGGCAGGCACCAGGAGGGGTGGTGAGGGCCTGGACCCCAGCCATGGGAGCTCGGCAGTCAGGCGGGGTCAGATCCCAGCTCATATAATAGGGGTCCCAGTCACCACGAGGCTCTTTACTTCCCTGCTCAGGATTAGAACTGGATGGGGCCTCGGTAGGCCCACAGTGGGGGAAGGCTTCTTGCCTGCATTAGACAGGCACGGGTCTGCCCTTCATCCTTGCTGGCCTCCAAGACCAAGAGCGTAGACTTCCCGGTAAGAAGGACCCAGTCAAACCCAGGACTACTGCAAGTACAGACGCAGGGGGATCACTATGGACAGGTTGTTTAACCTCTAAGCCTCAAATTTCTCATCCGTGTAGTGACACTGTGAATGCCAACTTGATGTAGTGTAAAGGTTCGGTGCACTTCTATATGTTCTATACTTACATTATGTCTGCTACAGAGTACAGTCATATCAGGTGCTTGGAAACTGTGACTTTAAATGAAAAGCTGTAATGACAGCAGGTCCTCGAATAACGGCATTTCATGCAGGTCAATCAGGATTTTTTTCCCCTCATCAACATTATAAGGAAACAGCATTGAATGAAACGAGGCTGTTCAGGGACCTGCTATAGGCATTCAGCAATGTCGAATGAATGAATCATCCTATGGCAAACTTGCCTCCCTTAAATCCTCTTGTTCATTTTCATCCTCTTTGGAATTTCTCCAGCTTTCTGACATAGGAAACTGTTGACTTCTCAACGAGAGGAAATGAGTTATTCATCTCTGAATCACTGGAGCATGACATAAGTCTGGTAGATACAAGGTGCTTAAAAAATGACGTTTTCCTTCCTCAAAGAATAAAGAATGTGCCTCGTTCCTCTATGTATTCCTAGCCTGGCACAGTGACTGACAGGCAGCAGGCATTTTTTAAATATTTGTTGAATGAATGAGTGAACATATAAAAATGATTGAGCAAAGCATGACCCTGATGCTATCTCAAGATGCATGCTAGAAGTCCATTCCTACTTCCATTTAGGAGGAACCTGGCCACTTCCTTAGAGGAGGCCAATCAGACCCTTGGGAGGCCGCAGAGGTCTGGGTTCGGGCAGATCCTCTGTACACTGGTGACTGCTGGGGACCCTTCCAGGTGCACGGCTGTGAGCTCCTCTTGTTGCAGCAGGCCCAAGGGCTGAGGCTGGCCTGGTCCTCAGCTGGTGGTAAGGTGGGCTGTACTTAAGGTGGGCATTTTCATAGGCATGAGGGCAGTGTGGTTTGTTAGGAAGGCCGCTGGATGGATGGGGAGTCAGGAGACCTGGATTCTGGCCCCATTCCCATCATCAATCCATGCAGTGACCCCACACTGCCACAAGCTTCCGTTGGGCCTCGGTTTCTCCCTCTGTACAATGGGGGTGTGGCCCTGCCTTGGGATGATGCTCCCCTGGTGTCTGCCCAGAGTGTCGGTCAATAACCAGCTACTGAGCATGGCCAAGTGTCCCCTATGGGAGATGTCCTGTAATGTCAACGCACTGCTGGATTTCACAGAGTCACAAGTTCTCCAGTTACCTTTGAGTGCTTGTCTCTGCTCTGAAATTCCGAGGTCTGATGAAAGCTGGCAGGGGAAGGAGGGAAGTTAGATTTTCCAAAGGGAATATTTGAGGATCACCATTTACTTGTGTCAACATAAAAATTTCAGGAGGCAATTGAAAAGGGAAAACACATTTATTTGGGATGTAAGAACGACAATTCATGGTACACAGATTCAGGCAGAAAACCTAAAGTGTTTCCTCTTTACTCCCACCACCTCCCCCATTCCACCCTAAGACAAAGTCAGAGATTTTTATGGGAAGAAAAGAAAAAGATGAGATAAGTAGTTAAGAGTTGATGAGTGATAACAAGCTTAACTAGTCTTGGTTATGCATAATGGATTACAGATTCCTTAGGAATGAAAAGGGAAATTGATACTATTCTTCAGCTAAAAATCCATAATTATCAGTCCTCACCATCAGGATGGCTCCTCAAACAATTGTTTGTTGATTCATTTCTTAAAACAATTGTTTCTGACCCAGTCCAAAGGTCTCTGGCCCAGTTCAGGGAGACAGGTGATGCATTTTCTTTCTAAGGGATCCCTGACTCCATTTTGAAAATGGCTTCATGATGTCAACTTCTCACTAAAAATGGTCGTAACAGAAAGGTCTTTTTTTTAAAAAATAAATAACTTCCCATCTCTCTTCTCCTTATTAAGTACATAATCAACTAACAAATAGGGTTTTTTCCTTTTTCTGAAGTCCCGGTGAGCATTTGGTTGGGGAAACCTTGGCCTAAAGAGTAGATTAGTCCAAATCCCTCGCTTAAGAAAAGGGAGCTAGGCCCTCCCTGGTGGCGCAGAGGGTTAAAGCACAGCACTGAGAATCTAAAGCCGCTTCCGCATGAGTTCGATTCCCGCCTGCCCGGGAGGTGACCACATGGTGTGGCAGACCTCTCCTGACCCGCCCGCTGCTCCCCTCAGCAGTGTACTTCATCGATCTGCCTGTTCTGTTCCCCACTGTCTCTGGTGAAGCCTCTCACTGCCCCTGAGCCTCTGGCCTGTACCCCAGTTCTGTATGCACAAATAAATAAATAAATCTTTAAAAAAAAAAAAAGAAAGAAAAGGGAGCTCATCAAAGAGAGCTAGAAAGGCTGGGTCCAGGGGAGCCAGAGGCTTAGCACTGGGCATCTGAGGAAGAGGCTTGGTGACAGGACAGGTCAGCAGGTAATTCTAGGGTGGGGATAGTTGTTTTGGGGGTGAGAGGCATAGAGATACACACTGTAATGAGGGCCTTGAGGGAGGCTTTGAGCTCTTCTGTGTCTCAGGCTTTTCATCTGCAAGATAGGATACAACTTCCTCTTTAGTGGAAAATACTTCAGATGGTCCATGATGGATAGTAGGAACCTTTGAGGGGCATGCAGTGACGAGGGTGGTGGGGGTGGTATAAAAGCCCTTGAGATCTTCAGCAGAATTCATATCACTTTGAGGGACCGGTGCCAAGCCCTGTGTCAGCTGTCCCGCTGTATCTGGTGACACCCACGCAGGTGAGACTGCTGACAGACAGAGCTCACTGTGTCACCAGGGGCTCCCACAGAACCTGCCACAGTTCAAGCCAGGACCTTATTCTGGCCGGGGGCATGGGCATCTGCCCGCCATGTGACTGAACCACCCCAAATTGACATGGACTGAACTTTGTCACCAGCCTGCTTCTCACGAGGACAAGGACTTTCCAGCTGGGCTGGCAAGCTGTACTGGGGGGATAGTTTCAGATTCTGGATGACATTCCCCTGCACCTCAGCCTAATGGGCCCCAGATGGTCCCCTCCCCCCTCAGCCTCCCATCCTCTGGATGTTCTGAAGCCGTGTGCAGGCCTGCTGGGCCTGTCTCACCAGTCACTGAACCTCTTGACTCAATTATTTTTTTTAATTTAAACCATTTTGTTCTCCCTTAACATGACAGCTTAACAGAGGTCAGCGTTAAAGAGGCTGTTTCCTCCTGATGGGGACCAGGACAGAGAAGCAGGCAGATGAAGGAGAGTAGAAGGAAGCCGACTTTGGGAACGTGAGAGCGAGGGAAACATAGGAGTCTTTATTGGACTAGCATAAAAGAAGCAACAGGAGTAGCAGTTGCCTTAACGTGGCCAGGTCACCGGGGACTGGATAGACGCACCAGGCCCAGCTGGATACCCCACGAGCCCTGGGGTCTCATGACTCATGTTCTCCAGAAATGCCTCTTAGGTCACAATCTTGCTGCGGCTGCTTTTGCTCTATCTTTCCTCCCACCCACTCACCCTCTGCCCCCTCCCCCTTTTCTCTATCTTGGAAACATTTAAATTTGTAATTCTTAGCTGTTGTTCCTTAGCAGTCGGCAATAATGAGATAAGACTATGGCCCAGGCCTCTGGGATGGAGGAGGGAGAGTGGCTACCTGGATACCACTGGGAGAAAGAAAGAAAGAGGCGTGGCAGGATGGTGGGGCCAGAGAAGGGGGGAGGCTCGTAAGAAAGGCAGGGGCGGCAGACCTAGGAGGACAGAAGCCCTGACTCTCAGCTTGACAAACAAGGACAAGCCTGATAAACATCGGCCAGCCAGGTAGCAGAATGAGAAACGGTGTCCTGCCCCCCACCCCCCACCCTCCACCCTCCCGCCCGAGTCTTTTGTTGCATTTCACAGAAGTGCGGCCTGGACCAGCGTGCTAATAATCATAATCTCAGTTCTTTCGACATTTAGCAATAAGCCCTGGTGCCCACGTCTGCATATTCTTGGACAGGAGTTGGGGCTGGTGAATCCCGAAAACTCCAGGAGTAGGGCTGGGAGCTGAGACCTGGGCAATGGGGGAGCTTAGGGTCCCAGCAGGGCAGCTCCAGGGCCCAGATCTCTGGCTTTCTCATCCCATAATGAAAATATGGAGATGAAATAAAGGGGGGAGAGGTTATATTGGTGAAAGTAGGCCAGGAAAATATAAACTTTGAAGACCAGATGGAAACCCCTCCACTGAAGAATTCTTGGCTGCTCTTCTAAGGCAGCCCTCCCTGTCCAACAGCAGGGACACTAACCCTGGCATTTTCTCTGTCTTTCAGGACCTCCTGTAAGTACTCCAGCAGCCCCACTCAACCATCTGAAAGGCCTTGCTCCCTGTCGGTAATCGGGCCCTGGTTTGGGGGGGGATTGGCAGCTACCCAGCTGTCTTCCAGGGGTCTCCTGCACCCTCTACAGAAGTCCAACATGGTGCCCCCTGGGAGGGAGAGGCCCATTTCTCTTTCCACCCACCTCTACCCACCCCTCCTCCAGGGGCAAAGCAAGTCCTGATTTCAATCTGAAAGGCTGACTTGCCCCATTGTGAGCCCAGCTCCTTTGTCCCCCAAGAAAACAACTGGAGTCAAAGAAGCCCCAGGTATTAGAAAAAGGAAGGAGATAATCTCTACTCAGTTCTGGGCCCTGAAAGGTCTCCTGTTCATTCAGCAAACAAGACCCTTAGCCAGGCTCTCGCGTGGAGGGCTCCCGAGGAGGCCGTGAGCATCGGCTGTGCGGCAGCTCCCTCCGGCCAGGTCACTCTGGACAGGTGCTGGTGGTTTCATCTAAACGAGCAGTGTGGGGCAGACTGGGGGACATTACAGGTGGTGCCCGTGGGTGGGAGTCCCCTGAGGCCCAGGGTGGGGCAGGGAAGCCTAGCGATTGCCAGAGAACCTGAGAAGAGCCCACAGAGACTATCTCCCCAAAGTGGACCCAGGGAACTGGAGTGTCTGCTTTGAGAACAGTATTTGATACCCAGACAAAGGCCCCAAGGTCACTGGGGGAGCCAGGGATTGGAGTTGAAAGCACTGAGCCCTCGGCATCAGATCTTTCTCAAGGCTGCTGAACGCAGCCACCTGATGGCCCCTTCCTTGGAGAAGCCACTTCCATTGCTGCTTTCCCCATCTGTCCCTGCAAGAGCAGTGTTTAACATGCCTTCTGCGCCCTGAGCCCTTGATGACCATCCTGCCAGCTTCCTGACTGTGAAGCCATGGAGAGAGAAGAAAATCATGTCATTCCTGAAAAGAGGAGGGGTGATGGATCGTGACATGTTTTAGATGTCAGATCTCAATTCCTCTCATCAATCTTCCAAAATACACTCTGCCCCAGGAAACTCTGACAGACCACCTGCTGCAAATGAGATACTTTCCCCCCCCTTTTTTTTTTTTTTGACAAAGCCAGAAAGAGTCCTCTCCTCCCCCACTCCTGGAGCCTCCCCCAAGCACCCAGCTCTGGCTCCAGGGGCTGTCCTTGCCAGGAATGTTGCCTTGTCATGAAAGCGCCTGACCACCTTGCCCAGGACTGTTCCCAGCCAGGAGCTGCAGCTGGTGGGGCGGGCACAGGGTTCTGCAGCAGGACAAATGAGGGGAGGATCTGAGGAAGGGGGACACCCGAGAGTAGCTTTCCTGAATTCTCAGTCTGACACACAAGTACCCTGGCTTTTCACCCAACTTTGGCTGAAAGCACAGGCAGGATGAGGAGGAAATGGGAAGCCAGCCAGACTGGGAATCACCTCCTGGTCCTCGACTTCCTCGCTTCTTCCTGCCACAGACCAGAGGTGCAGAGGGAAAGCAAGATGGCAGCCGGGGCAGTGTCTGTCTGCTGCCTTCTGGGCACCCTCCCCATGCCCGTGGCAGACAGAGCTAATCAACTAGGGGGCTTCTTACCATAATGCTTTACTCAGCCATTGCCTATCCATTAGAGTCCGTGATCAAGCTCACAGCTACTGGTCAACCCTGCACTAGATTAGGACAGAATGGCTTTTTTTTTTTCATAATATAATAGTTTATTTTTACATCATTTGTACTTTTTTTTCCATCTCAATTGTAATCCCTGTGGGTTTCTCATCACCCGTCTCCCATGTGCCATCACCATAGTCCCGTGCACTTCCCTCCCTCCCTCACTCCCCCCCAACCCCGTTTTTTATCCCATTCCCCACTCCACCCCCACAAAATGTCTCTGGTATATGGCTGTTCATTATTCTTATTATTTTCTTGCCTGTCCATTATACTCCAGCTATGAGCGAAACCATCTGGTATTTTTCTTTCTCTTTCTGGCTTATCATAGGAGAGAATGTCTTAATTATAGGAACTGCAAGACTAAAACCAGTGATCAAGGCAAGTAGGAATTATCAGGAAATATTTGATGTCCAGTTACCAGTCTTAGTTGAAACATAATCCTCGCTGGAATACAGCAAGCCAACACTGTGTTAAGCACTGCTGTGTTTTCATGGAGACAGTGTAATATAATTCAAGTGTGGGCTCTAGCTGGATCCAAATGATACTGCTAGTCGTGTGACCTTGGACCAATCACTTCTCTGTACCTCGATTTCTTCATCTGTAAAGTGGGGGTAGTAGTAATATCTGACTCATTCAGGTGTTCTGAGGAATGTAGACAAAATTATGTGTGTGTGCAGACATACATGTGTATGATTATACATATTTTTAGCACTTAAAACATATGTGCTCATTACATAGGGCTTCCATAGATGATTTCCAACGATTCTTGCAACCCTTTAATTTTAAGGAGGAAAATTAAAAATTTTTAAAGTTTATGCATACAAGAACTGGGGTACAAGCCAGAGTTGCAGGCTTCACCAGAGACAGAGTGGGGAGCAGAACAGGCAGATCTACTGAAATGCACTGCTGAGGGGAGCAGTGGGCGAGACAGGAGAGGTCTGCTGCGCCATGTGGGTCAGCTCCCTGGCTGGGGATCAGGCTGCAGTGGTAATAGCGCTGAGACTTAACTCCTAGGCCACCAGGGAGACCCAGGGAGGAAATTATTCTTTATGAAATTTTATTATTTATTTTATTTCCACCTTACCTTATTCCAAGACACATTTTTGGGTGGCTTACAAGCTAGATAAGGAACCCACAGGCAGGGGGCAGAGAGCTGAGGCAGGAAAACAAAGAGAACCCAGAGCTGATAATCGTGAGCTCTGAACTTGCTTTTGAGCTTCCTGGTAGCCAAAGCAAAGAGGAAAGCAGAGTTGTAAGAGTCTGGCTGTAGTGAGGTCACAGTGCCCCTGGCATTTAGGTGAAGCCCAGCTCCTCCTGGCACTGAGACCAGAGAGAAGCTTCTTGTGTGGGGGGGTGATGTGGGTTACCAGTACATGGGAGCAGTGAGCAAACTGTCCCTTCTGTCTCCATTCTGGCTAGACCCACTATAGGAAGTGGGAAACTTTTCCCTGGAACAGGAGGGAAGAGGCTCCCCACACCTTGACCCCACTCCCTGGTGGCATCAGAGTCGGGCAGTTTAGACGTGAGAGAAAGAAACTATTGGGTCAGTACAAAAACCCTGGTGACTGAGAGTGCAGATGCCTGGCTGTCTTTGCGAGCACCTGGGAAGAAAGGGCCTAGTTCCCAGGCTCATGCTATCTGCCCTCAGGTTCATTTGTGCACAGTATGGATTGAGGACCCACTAAGAGCTCAGACTCCTCTGAAGACATCTGTGAAGAACACAGAAAAATCTCTTGAGGAGCTGATGCTTTAGGGTTCAAAATCAAGTAAGCTTGATTTCTGAGGGCAAAATCAAGCAGAGCAAAGGAATTGTAGCTGGGTGCTCTGCCCCTAGGGGCTGCCACCCAGCGTTCCCCTAGGACCTCCTCCTGAGCTTGGATCTGTGGGAGTCACTGCACAGTAGGGGTGCTCTCAGGAGCGACACACGGGGCTCACCTATTCCTGGCGCTGCTTCCTCATTCAGCAGCCCTCAACCAGGGCACCTGTCTCCCAGCTAGCACCCTGAGGCCAGTTCTGGTTCTAGCTTCAGAATGTGGCAACAGCAGGGTGCCTGGAAGGAGAGAAATACCCTGAGAGTTGAGGTTCTGGAGGGAGAAACTGAGGCCAGTTCCATGCACTCCCCCCGCCAAACCTCTTGGCTGATCCTAACAGCTACCATTTATTTAGCACTTGCTACAGGCACGTGTTGCATGCATTATCTCCTAACAGATGATATTATTGTTCTGCTTACAAGATGGGGAAACTGAGTGAGACACAGGAAAGTTGAGCAACTTGCTTAAAGTTGTCATACAAGTAAGCGGCAGAGCTGTGACTCGAGCACATGCAGGCTGCCTCCAGAGCCAGGCTCCTAACTAAACCCAGCTGTTTCCCTGACCAAGACGCCATGTCTTCAGACAGTGCCATGGCCATGCTAGGGTGAGGCTCAGCTCCTAAACTTCCCTCCAGCTGTTTCCTCCCCTTTTGCAAGGTGCTCGGTCATGCCCAGTGAGGCTGCTCTTAGAGACAGCTTCTCAGCCAGCCTCTTGATTCAGATCATGTGGAAGTCGTGGACTAGAGCTAAAAAAAGTGGGGGGGGGGGGGCAAGATTTGTATAGGACTTGCTTGGTTCCTAAGCCATCTCCTATTGCTGTGATGATGATTGAATCCATAAAACAGGGTGTTCAATGATAGCCTCTTTTCAATAGCCTTTCAGGTCCATTATATGGAGTCTTTGCCTAGGATTGTGCCTTGAGCTCCGTACCCATAACTGTGCAAGGCAGGAGCTCTAGGGTCAGGAACAAAGGGTTTGAGAAGTCATAGCAGGGAGTGAGGGAGGGGTGTGGAGTGCCAATATGCTCCTTCAGTGGCTCGGCATGCCATGTATGGTGAGGTCCCCCCCTTACACCTACTCCCACCCATCCTGGAGACAGCCATCTGCAGCTGGTGGCAGGCATTACAGGAAGGGCCATCTCAACAGAAGGGCAAAGCCACTTAAGGATGCCTGCATCCCCATTCCAAGCTCATGGCCCTTCTGCTCAGCATGGCCGGTCAGGCAGGAGCTTCATCAGAACAGTAGGTGGCAAAGCTCTCCCTGACATGGTGCTTCCCATTGTGGTAGGTCAGAGAGGACAGAGCCCTGGCTCCCTCAGGCTCAGCGACAAGGGTTGGGGAGAGTCTCATCATTCTGTTCCCTGAACCCTCCCTGGGTCTGGCATGGAGGACACCCCTACACCTGTTTTTCAGAAGGGAGGAAGAAGTCACTGAATGAATGCTAGAACTAAAGGAAAGCTTAGTGACCACTGCCCTCCCTTCATTTCATTCATAGAATAAGCAGCTCATTGAGCACACGTGACTTCAGAGCCACACAGCCGGTGGGGCAGTGTGGAACTCTTAGATAGTACAAGCCCCTGAACTTTGTAAAGCTTATGCTTTCTGCCTTTATTTCAGGGTCCTGCTGGAAGACCCGGCCTCCCGGTAAGCAATTTTAATTTCTTTCTTCCTTTCCATCTCTTTCGTCGTTCTTTCTCCATCTGAGCATTGGCTGTATGGGGTGGCTGCTTCCCCCCAGCTGCATCTGGGTGAGAGCCCTCTCTCATAACCCATGGCTGATGGTGAAGCCCACCTTCAGTCCCTTCTACCTTTGAGGCCTGGAGAGGTCCCTACCAGGATGTCTTGAGCCTGTAGCTATAGCTTTAGCTTCTTGGGGCCTTCTGAGCCCCAGGTGGGTAACAGTTGGAGAGGTAGGCTTCTCCAATGTTGGACCTGACTCCAAGCCTCTGATTTGATAATGGGGGGCTGGTGGGGAAGGCAGCCCACAGCTTCTGGGTGTCCTCCTCTGTCCTATGCTTTCTAGTAAGTGTCATCTCAAAAAACTTTAAAGTTATCATTTCTGAATTCTGGGGAGGCTTTGCCAAGTAATGGTGGAGACTTGGGGACAAAAGTAGAAATTGTAGTAGTAACCACCTCTTACTGAAAGCTTAGCGTGTGCCAGGCACTGTACTAGTCAGTCTCCCTATATTTGATTTGTTCAGCATCTCAGTGAAATGGGTATTGTTATGCCTGTTTTATCGATGAGGAAACTGAGACTCACTGATAAAAATACTTGATCTGATTATCTATGTTACCATACTTTTCCAGACTCTTGTTTCTTGGGGTACACACTCAGTATTTGAGTCATCTTTAAAGTCTTCTGAGACACTGCTTGGTGGAGTGTAACTGGGAAAGCAAAGTGATGGATCCCTTGGCCCCTGCAGTGGGAGTGGAAAGTGATTCAGGCAAGATGCTATGACCAGGTAGAGGGGCAGGGTGGGCAGAGGGTGAGCTGGGCTGGCATCAGGCTGCCCTGCCTCCCTGTGCCAAAGGCCATTGGATTCCAGAGCCTTCTGTGCATCTCTTCTGCCCCAGTTACTCCTCCTTTGGACATGAATTACACCCTAACCTCTTGACTAGTCCAATAGCTTCTAGAATTCCTGTCGAGCAGTGACTTTTTAATGAAATACATGTGGGAGAATGTTTAGTCTTGAAAATGGAAATGCTCCCTGTCAGTATGAGCCCCAGAGCAAAGGAGGACGGGTAAACGGGTCCCATGAAATCCAAAGAGGGCGAGATCAGATGACTGGGGGAACGTGGGCAGACTTTGTTATTTCTGACAACATGCACCTTTAAAAAACATTTGGGGGCAATTCGCAGAGCAGGGGCTGCTGACATAGTTTCCAGGCTCTGGCCGCTCCATGCTTATCCCTAACCAGAACATTTTATAGCCAGGACTGCAAAGAACATTAGTTCTTAAAAAGACACCAAAATACACATCCTGAAATATCATTCAAAAGCCCAAGAGTGAGTGGGCTGGGGGATGTCAAGGCCTCCAGTGGGCTTGGTATGCGCCCATTAAGGGCAGACCACTCATCCGTGGCTCATGGGTCTGCTTATCCCTCCACACCAGAGGAACTGGGAGTGAACCCCTGAAAAGATTTGTTGATGTTGGCTCCTATGAAGCACAGAAAGTGTGAAGTACAGGCTTGCTTGTAAAATGCGCTGCCGTGGCTGTGCTGAGAGCTACCACCTACAGGCACATCTCAGTGCCACGCCCCAGGCGCCTCTGGCTTTCCAGAGGCAGCATCTATGGCATCCTTGAGCAAGCCCACGAGACGTGGATGCCCAGGGAGGTTAGGACACCATGCAGTGCTCGTAACAAATGCTGCTACCCTGCCACTCTTAGAACAAGCTGAACATTTCACTCAGAAACACAGTTGATTATGTGTGACAGGGAACCCAATTTCAGGGTTGATTGCTAGTCCTTGGCATATCCACTTATACCTTGGGGTGCTAATTGTCCCTCAAGGCATTTTGCCTCAGTGGGGTGAGCAGAACCAATAGAATCACCCCAGGAATGGCCTCTGTCCCTGGCGGGCCCAGCTCTACCCTGCCCGGCAGCCAGGCAAACACCATCTGATCTTAGCCCCATTCCTGCTACTCCTTCCAGGCTCCCAGCATGCCCCAGGCCCCACCCCAGATTTTATGATGTCTACACACGTATGATTGCAAAAAAATATTTTCTACCAAAGAGGGAGGAACAAGACTTAATAAGCTGATTTCCAGAGTGGGAAGATGTAATCCCTGGCTCCAAACTAAAGCAATTCTCTCTGAGCATCTGAAACTCGTGATGTGGCCGAGTCCACATGGCTCGAGGTCCTTCCTGTCTGTCCAGGGGGTGGCCGTGTGGAGGGGACACGGGGTAGGGCTCTGTCTGTAGTCTTTTCAGACGGGAGGCCTGAGGAGGAGCCAGGGAGCGTGGGCACCGATCCCGGTTCTGGCAGTGACAGACCTAGGGAATCAGTTCACCCACTCACAGCAGAGGTGCTGGCTCGCCCTGCTCCGTGCCCGGAAGTCAAGGCTCCTGCTCATAGCAGCATGGGTCATGACAACAGAGGTCTCAGGGAAGAAGGTTCTTGGACTTCTCGTGAGACACAGAGGAAAACTGAAGCCCAGGCTGCGAACCAGACTCCTGACATCATGTTCTTCCTGCTTCTGAGTGCTGACAGTGGGGGGGACAGCTGCTTGCTGACACCCACGGGAGTCACATGGTCAAGTTCGCAGGCATGTCACTTGGGCATTGTGACCACTGCCCTGAGAGCCAGATGTCGGTGAACAGCTAGTCCATGGGACCCTTCACAGGCTGGCCTGGCTCCAGTTACGTCTAACTGTCTCTGCCTCCTTCATTAGGGGGACAAAGGTGCCATTGGGATGCCTGGACGTGTGGTGAGTTCGTGCATTTGTACCTGCTTGGGTGGCCATTGCTCATTTCACCATGCTGGCCTGTCCCCCAGACCCTGGCAAAGTGCTACTTAGCCCAGCCCCAAGGATGGGACAGGACCTCTCCTCCCACTGCAGTGTCATCTTCAGAGGTGAACAGGCTTAAGGAGAAGTGAAAGAGTTTTATGCAGAGACTTCAGATCTTTGCAACATGGCTTCACTCTCCGGATATAGCCGTGGCAAAGGAAAGACCCAAGAAAGTTGTATGAACAAAGCTCTTTGCCCATCAATACTGAGTGACACTGAGCCCCACGACAGTCAGAGGATGCCCCCCACTCCTTCCCCTGCCCCCAAGGCTGGCATCTCACCCTCAGCTGTTCTTGCACCACGTCCCAGCACGGTCAGTAAAAGTTGGTGAGAAATGCCACCTCCTTGACAGCACTGCAGGGGAGCCAGCTTCTGGAACCCTTTCCCTAGACAGATACTTCATCAGCGGTGATGAAGGGAGCTCCAGGTAGTGTCTCCGACACCTCACCAGGGGCCAGAGAGGGCAAGCTGTTGACATTCCCAGGTGGTGATAGGGGAGCGACAATGTTTCATAGGGAGAGCGTTTCTCCTGGCCTTTGGTCTGGAGTTTCTGGCACCAGGGTCTTTCCAAGTCTCTGCGGGGTTAGGACAGAGAGCGTGGGCTCCTGGTGGCAGCTCAAGGTAGTGGCAATGCCACACAGCCCAGTCTAGGGTGCAGCCCCAGCTGCGCTCCCCATTGACCTGTAACTCTCCACCCCCATCAGCCTCCACCCCCCCACCCCACCTTGGGCTCCGCTGAGCACCCCCACACGCTATTGCTTCCCCCTCCCGGCTTTGCCTCCTGGCTGCACCCCCCGGGCAGTGTTGGCCTGTGTGTGGCATCCTGTGTGCTGTTTGCTTCCTGGTGTGATACCCACGCAAAGAGAAAGGCATCCAGGGCACAGCTAACAACCACATGCAAGGCGTCGCGCTAAGAGTCCATTTCCCCCACTGGGTTCTGCAAGAGGGAGAAACAATTCCAACCCCATTTTTCTGATGAGAAAATTAAGGTCAGATGTTCTGTTTTTCTCAAGGTCAGGTGAGCTGGGGCTGTTCTGGGGCTTTAACCCTGGCAACGTCCACACATGCTCTTGACCCTAATGATGTTTCCCATCAGCCGTCGACATCACAGCTCTCAGAAGGTGGGGTCCTTAGGGTGCCCCTTAGGGTGCCTTGGCCTAGACCCAGGACATCTCAGAGGTTCAGGACCTGTGGTCCATGTCACAGAACTTTGCACTCCCAGAACCATCCCACGGCTTCCTGTCAAAGTGGAGGCTGAGAGCCCCAGATCAGTGACGTGGGGCCTTCACACCACTGTCCAGCCCACAGCACCTGGACTCCTTGCTGCCTGTGGCTCTGCTCCATTCTCTGGCTCCAGACATTGGTCCCTCCCTGCCAGAGAAAGGAAATGTCATTGAGCAGGCCTTTCTTGGGGGGCTGCCCGGACAAGGGGGTACAAATCCAGGCATATGCCCCACTACAGACTCCTGAGACCCCATTTCATTGATGAGCATGTTGATACTCATCTTGTCCCTGAGTGGAGCTGGGTTTTGTGCCCACACTACAGCCAGAACCAAAGTCCTTGCTCCTTACAGGTCAGCTCAGGCGTCTCCGCCCCAGGGCAGCGGCCTGGGAGTGAAGTGGGGGGCAGAACACAAGCACCCCTACAGGCTTCCTTCTCCTGCTCTCCTGCTGTCCACTTCCTGTGGACGGGTCCCCCAAGAGGTGTCCCTGGGGGCCTAGTTCTGACCCAGAGTAGAGGTGCTGGGAAGGAAGGCCACAGACATCTCCACACTTCCTTCTACACTGGGCTCCATTCAAGGGGTTTTCTCCACTCTGCTCACACTATCTACATGTGACAATGGGCCCATTTGGCTACCCACTAGGAGCTGGCCTGAGTCCCCTGATAAGACTGGAGTGACCAGTGGGTGTGAATTACCTCCCTTGTTCTTGTAGCCCACAGAGGTGGCACCTCTAAGGAGTAGTTGGATGGGGGAGCAGTAAATACTGCTCACTGTGGTTCCAGAGACCCAGGGAATTACTCTATTTCCTCCGCATCCAGCCCCATCTCCATCCTCTGCCTGGCCAGTCCTGACTCCTAGTGTGTCTGACTTGGCAACGCTTTGTGTTTGTGCTCAGTTAGACCTTCCAGCAGGCTGGACTCCACCTCACAGCACAACCCTGGGAAAAGTGTCCCCCAGCCCCACTTCAAATTACCCAGCCATCTGGGGCTGTGACGGGGTGGGGGTGGGGGTTCCTGAGGGTTCTCTCTCTCTCTCTTTCACACACACACACACACACACTTTGAAGGGCCGCTGTTTCCCTCCTAGTTCTTTGGAAGGGAAGGGCCAGCTGGGGCCAGGCCGTAAGGCAGCGGCTGTCCACATGCTGGGCTTCTTGGATGCAGGGCCTGTCATGTTCAGCATCTGTGTTTTTTTTTTTGCTTCTTATTTCACGGCGATTTCTCTTGTTTGGTGCTAGTTCCATTAACACAGATTCCCGTGGGCGTGCCTCGCTCTCATCTTCTCTTTTCTCTCCCTCCCTGTCTCCCATGCACTCCGTGTTACATGTGGCTGCCCCAGGGAGTAAAGGGCCAACCAGGCGAGAAGGTGAGTCCACACGTTCCCACCCACCTCTGCCCAGGCTGCCCCTCCGCCTCACAGCCTCAGGGCTTGGAGGGGGCCCTTGTCCCAGCCCCCCACCCCCACCCCCACCCGTGGTGCAGGCCCAAGCAGAGTGAGGGAGCACCAGCAGCCTGCGCTCAACGCTCTCTCATGACCCAGTTTGCTAATAGCTTCCACAACTCGGGCAGGAGTCTTGAGATTCCCGGGCTAAGGTCCCAGCTTCCCTGGCTGAGCTGAGCGGGTCTCCCCTGCTCCACTGAGGGTGCATGTGGCCTCAAAGCTCGGCTTCCCCACCTCGGGCCATCTTCCTCGCCAAGGCCAGTGAAGCACCAGTCACTGTCTGTGTTGCTTGCTCCAACCCCCCTGCCCTGTCTGCCGTGGTACCCTCAGACCAAAAAGAGAAGCTCTTTTTGGGCCAGCACTGAGAGAATCCCCACAGAGAAAGGCTGGGGGACTCCCAGAGTGGAAGAGTAGAACCCCTGGGAAGCCCTAGAGACCTTCCTGGAACACCAGCCCTGGTGGGTTGTTGGTTAGGGGGTGCAGAGAGTAGCACGACTAAGCAGTTTGCTTTATAGAAAAGGAGGCTGGGCAGAGAGGTGAAGTTTGCCCATGGCCCCACAGAAACAATGAGCAAGGTCTAGAAGGCAGACCGCCTGCGGCCAACCCTGGATCTCCTTGCTGTGCACCACAGGGTTTCTGCAACAGAGCCCCCATTTCCAGAACAATCAGACAACAGTGACCAGGGACCGTAGTAGCTGCCATGAATTAAGCCCAAAATGTGTCAGGAACAATTTTTTTTTTAAAGATTTATTTATGTATACAGAACTAGGGTACAGGACAGAGGTGCAGGGGGTAAGAAGACTCACCAGAGACAGAGTGAGGAGCAGAACTGTCAGATACACAAAGCAGCCTGGTGAGGGGAGCAGTGAGCAAGACAGGACAGGTCTGCCATGCCACATAGGTCACCTCTGGGGTGGGGATCGAACTCGCAGTGAAGGGGCTGCAGCTCTCTTGCGGTGCTGCGCTTTAACCTGCTGCGCCACAGGAAGGGCCTGTGTTGGGCACAGTTTTAAGTGTTTTGCCTCTGTTCTCCCAACTAACTCTGACATGCCCATTCCCATGCTATTTCCATCTGCACGAGAAGGAACTGAGGCAGAGAGGCAGGTCATATACCCAAGGTCACCCCCAGAAAGAGATAGGGCTGGAGAGGAGCCTTGGTGTGTCTGACTCCGAGGCTGGGTCTCAAGCCACCGGGTGCTGCTGACCTCTGAGAGGAATGGAGACTGCCCACCCACTCTCCAGGGACCCATACTGCCCCGTGGAGGGCAGCGGACCCAGTCAGTGCTGAGGACAACACACTGGCCAGCCACGGCATGTCCACAGCTGCCCTATGAAACAGGTGCTAGTAACCCTTCTTTACTGATTAGGAAACTGAGGCAGGGAGAAGTTAATTTGCCCAAGGTCCTTCTCAGAAGGACGGCTGAACTTCAGATCCAAGTTCTTCACCATCACAATACACTGCCTTGCTCAACACGGATGTTATGACTGCAGTGGCATGCATAATAACTTGCCACTAGCCCTCACCTGTGTTTGAGGCATACCATTTTACAAATTATGTCTAATTCCCTTGCCCTGGAAGGGCAGCAGAGCAGCCCTCAGAACCTCGTTCACAGAAGCGGTGTGTGGACTTGCCTGGCAGAACAAGACCCGGGAGCGAGGGCCCCGGGCGCTTCCACTCCCCAGCTGCCTCCGCGGGTGCATTGCGCCTGCCCTCCAGTCAGCTGCACAGCCTCAGCTGTCCTGCTAGAGCATCTCTTCTCACCCACCCCAGGTTGTGTCCCATGCACCCCACATCTTCATCTGTCACCCCTCTCTATCTCTATCACACGCACACGCACACACGCACGGCTTTAGCTCGCCAGCTCAGCCACCTGGCATGGCACTTAGAGCTTCCAGCCAGCCCAGCAGCACCCACTATCTTTTCAGGGCTAAAACTTCAGCCCCAGATCAACCCCTCAAGGTCACCTCAAGCCTCAGCTAGGAAGCCTGAGGCAGCACCAGCGCTCAGGCTCAGGGCCCACACGCGCGCGTATCTGCACCTTCTGCTCTTGGCTGGCTGGGGCAGGTGGTTGTCATCCACCTGAGTGGGGCGGCACCTCAGGGACTTTGAAAATTGAGGGGGTCGGAGTGGGTGGGAAGTGTCCCAAGAGGGTCATGGGGGAGGCCTCTGGGGCCTGAGCAGCAGCGGCTGAGCTGAGTGTCCCTCCCTCCGTCCACCCCCTTGCCCATTGCTGCATGCTCCCCTTTCGGGCCTGGGGTCCCACCACCCTCTTTCCCTGCTCTGTTCACGTCTCCTCTCTTTCCATTCCCATGATTCCCCACTGCCTGTCTCCCTCCTCTCCAAACCCCACTCGCTTCTTCCTCCCCTCCTGCTCCCTCACCTTCCTTCACATCTTTGGAACCCCTCTGGTCCCCCGGTCTTCCCCCTTACCTGTCCTCCCTCCCCACCTGCCAGTCCCTCTCTTCCCCCTTCTTTTCCCCACTCCCTTCCCTCCCCGCCCCTGCCTCCCCTCTCTTCCTCTCTCCCACAGGGTGCTCCAGGAGATGCCGGCTTGTCCATCATTGGTCCCCGAGGCCCCCCAGTAAGTGGCTTCTGCTCTTCTTCAGAGGGAGGGGTGGAGTGGTTAACGAGAAGGGCTTGAGGGTGGAGGGGAAACGAGTCCTGGTCCGGTCTCTGGGTGTGGCGGCCACTGCATGTGATGTGGTCACCAGGCCGGGCCTCTGTGCTGCTGTTGATGTTAAAGAAAGTGACCGGACTAAATATACCTCGGTGACAGCTTCTCGGGAGGGCTCGCAGGAGCCTCTCCGCCAGCCACAGAGCAGCGGCAGCTGCTAGGCGGCCCTGCTGTTTACAGTGAGAGGGGAGAAGGTGCTGGCTCCGCTTCGGTGGGCGTGCTCCAGCTGTCCAGGGGACGAGCCTTGCTTCCGGAACCCCGTGGAGCAGGTACCCAAAGTCCAGATTCACTGACCCAGGCTTGCACTCCAGGCCTTGGCCGAGGCCCAACCACCAGAGGCTCCTTTTGCGTGTAGCTTGGCTCTGTGTCTTAATACCCTGCACCCAATGGCTGGGACCTTGGAGGCACAGTGATGTGTCCCCCTCAGAGGTGCCTGCTGAGGGACCGAAAGCGACCTGGGTGGTAACACAGGATATTGTGACTAGAGGAAGGAGGATGAGTTGTTTTTCTCAACGATGCCAAAATACGGGTGTATTACCAAATGTCAGGGTGGGAAGGACCTCAGTGGTGGTCTAGCTCAGTGGTCTCAAATGGGAAAACGGAGGCCCCAAGAGAAGAAGAGACTTGGTCAGGGACCCACACAGAGGCTGGGGCAGGATTAGAAAACAGACCCCTGTCCCACAGCAACAGGTCCTCAGGGGCCAGCCTCCCCCTCCCCCATCTGCCCAGGGAGTCTTAGCTTAGCCCAATGGATGGCTCAGGCCCAGCTTTCCCATCCCCTGCCTTCCTCAGCAACAGCCAGCAGGAAGCAGGAGTCTCTGGGATCCACAGTCTAGGCAGAGGGGTCAGAATGCAAATTGCTAAGTAACGTGCAAGGGTGAGGCAGTGAGGAGCCAAGCTTGGAGACAAGGTGGTGGGAGAGAGGGGGTCTGGGCTGGAGGCAGGATTTGAAGGGCTCCTCTGGGCTCAGGCAATAATGAGAATGTTAAGGGCAGGTCTTTGGCTCTCTGGCAAATTTAAACTCATTTAATTCTCACAACCCAGAGGTAGATCCCATTCTACCTCCTTTTTATAGAAGAGGAGAAACAATGCGCAGAGAGGTTGAGTGACTTGCCCAAGGTCACACACTAGAGTGTGGTCCGGCTGATTGCTCAGCGGGGGCCTTGCAGCTCTGGGTCTGCTGCTTCTGTTCTCCTTCTGGACTCACAGGGCTGCTGCCCCGATGGGCTGTTGCCCTGATGGGCTGTTGCCCCGATGGGCTGTAAGCCTCCTTGTGTGCTGGGACAGTGACGTGGGTGCCCTGAGGCTCAGCAGTGGCCCAGTCACAGGACTACTAAGAAACAGGCAGGTCACGGAGACAGAAGACAGCCTCTAGGTTCTGACAGCGAAGCCTGAGGCAGGCTTGGACAGGAGAGTGGTGCAGAGCACCTGCTGTAGCCTCTGGCCACCACCACTATCTGCCCCCCGGGAAGACCACAGCTGATTCGGTGTGTCATCCTCTGAAACCCTTGCAGCAGCAAATGTCATTCTGCTACCTAAAACGGTCCAAATGGCCATGCTTCTGGAATACGCTGTCTGCCTCTGCTCCTAGCTTGTGGTCCAGCAGGTAAAGCCTAATCAGGGACACCCCTAGCACCCTGGACTGGATCCCAGTGGTGCAAAGTATCACCTACTCGGGGAACAGTGATAGTTCCTGTGTCCTGGGCACCTCGCAGCCCAACATCCGATGCTGAAGGCACTTGTCTTGTTCAGTCCCCCAGCCCCCCAAACAGAGCTGGAGGCAGGCCCACCAGCCCATTTTACAGAGAAGGAAACAGTGTTTCATGACTCTCCATGGTCATCCTGGAGTCTGAAGTTTGGAACGAGTTCTGGAGTTTAGGATGGGCCAGGTGGGCCTCATCCAAAGTCAGCACTCTAGCTGTCCATGTTTTAAGCTATATTATTTTAAAGATTTATTTTATTTCTGTATATAAGAGCTGGGGTATAGGCCAGAGGTGCAGGGAGGAAGAGGATTCAGCAGAGACAGAGTGGGGAGCAGAACAGGCAGAATGATGAAGTACACTGCTGAGGGAAGCAGCGGGCGGGTCAGGAGAGGTCTGCCGCGCCATGTGGGTCACCTCCCTGTCCGGGGATCAAACTCATGCTGCAGAGGCTGAGATAGCTTCAGAGTGCTGTGCCTCAACCCATTACACCACCAGGGAGGGCCCAAGTTACACCGTTTTAAATGGATATTTATCTAAAGGAGAAAAAAGTTGTCCTTGTGGGTGTCATATTGGTGCTAGGGGAAGAGGCTTCAGGGCACCAGGAGGCTGGACCAAGCCCTGTATTCTCCTCCTTGGGCCACATGGGTGACCACCCCTGCTGAGTCCTCACTAGACTCCAAGGAGACCCGCTCTAGCTCCTCTGTGGAAGTCACACGGGGCTCGCGAGAGCAGAGGACAGGGGAAGACAGTGGGGCCATTCGTTCACGAAGGGGTAGTGGTCAGCGGTCAAACCCCCTATGGGGCTGATGGGGACCATGTCCCTTTCCACCCAGCCAGGGAAGCCCCAAAATAAATGCTGTTATAAATGCTGTTAAGAACAAGAGTTGCTGCTCTTTGGGCCACCTGCCACCTCCCCTGAGCTTGACAAATGGGGGGCCCATCTGGGTACTTTAGGGAAGGATGCATCACCTGACGTGGCGGCTAGAGACATGTACCCTGTTCAACTGAGCTGCGGTAGAACCCCAGACACTGGCTGGCCCAAGAGGCACAGGGAGAGTCACCTGCCAGACTAGGAACTGCCCCCCACCCCCATCTTAAGGGAACTCATTTGCTCCCACAGGTCCCAGCTCCCTACAGGGGACAGAAGGAGCTGTCTTGTTTCTGGACCTTGTCCACCAGGTGCCAGCCTACACAAGTGAATCCACCTGTACAGTGTATTGAATTTTGTTTATTCAGTCATTTAATATTTGCTGCTGTATGCAACACAGTTGCACGCTGTGTGCTGAGCAGCGAATGGAAACCTGATTGCAGCCCCTTTGCAGAGAAACAGCAATCCCACCGGGTGGTTTCAGCATAGTTGGTGCCGGGACACCCAGGAGTGGTGGGACACGACCTGACTTGTGGTAGACGCATGAAGGCAGCTTCCAGGAGGAAGGGATAGAAAAACTATATAAGCAAGCATGAGCTGGGGTTACCCCGGTAACAAAGCCTGCAGAGAAGCACAAGCCCCAGGGGCAGGAGGGGTTCCTGTAAACTCCCAGGGAAACGGGAACAGGTCTTTCTGGAACAACAAGGATGGAGAGGGGCGAGGCTGGCAGGTGGGCACGGGCAGGTCCCTGAAGCACCTGCTCACGATGTTGGGGGTCAGGGCTTTCTCCTGAGCGCGATGCAGAACCCCTGGCTGTGTCGGGCCAAGGAGGACAAGATCAGAGTTACAGTCTAAGGGGAAAGGCTGACCCTCCCTGCTCTGTCAGGGCAATATTCAGAAGAGGCTGCAGGTGGGCTCTAGCTGGAAGGCACTTGCACTCATCAGGGCCTGGACCAGAACCCCGTCAGAGGCCAGCAAGAGGGCTGGACTGGGGAGACATTCTGGAAGTGGAATTGACAGGACACACTGATGATAAAAATGGGGACAGAGTTCAAAATGAGCCTATACTGCTGATGTGAATGGATGGCGGTGCTGAGATTTTTGTTGGGGAAGATGAGTTTAGGGAGAACATGGTGAATGTCAGATGTCCTTGGAACACCCAGGGAGGTGTCTGCCCCACCCCACACACCCTTTGCCGCTGGAAGTCAGCACGTGGTGAGTGGGAGCAGGCTCACATGCCCTCCAGAACAGAAGGTGCACCCTGGCCCAACCGGGGTGCTCTGTGGCACCTAGTTGGAGCTTGGAGTTCGGCAGGTGTCCTGGCATCATGAAACCAGCCAAAGCTGGGCAAAGCAGGGCTCTCCCTTCTCGCTTAACCCGTCCCGGCCAGTGATTACACATTTCCCAGCAGAGTCCCCTTTGGTGAACACTGACTCGCGCGTGGGAAGCAGAATGAAGCAGACTCAGGCAGATGCCCCACTGAGCCTCTTGCGGAGGCCCGACGGGAGACAGGAAGGACAGGACCTTCAGTCTGTCTGTATTGCTTCATTCCCAACAAGTTGCAAATAGGAGGAAGGTTGGGAGGAGTAGACATGGCGGGCAGGGGAGCTCAAAGAGCTGGGGTTCTGGCTTCGCTCCTCCCTGCCTTGAATTAGAGCAATATAAAGCTTACGTGACTTGTTCCAGTATAGAAAGACGTACTCTTCGTCCATGAAGCAACCTACAGGTGAATCTATAACACCAAACTGAACATGACCTCATCCCAGTGATTAGGTTGGGAGTGAGAACGGAGCGGGGGGTCCCACTAGATCATATTCAATTTCACTTGGAAAAAAAATAAGGTTCTGGCCCTCCCTGGTGGCACAGCGGGTTAAAGCACAGCACTGAGAATCTAAAGCCGCTTCCGCATGAGTTCGATTCCCGCCTGCCCCGGAGGTGACCACATGGCGTGGCAGACCTCTCCTGACCCGCCCGCTGCTCCCCTCAGCAGTGTACTTCGTCGATCTGCCTGTTCTGCTCCCCGCTCTGTCTCTGGTGAAGCCTCTCACCACCCTTGAGCCTCTGGCCTGTACCCCAGTTCTGTATGCACAAATAAATAAATCTTTAAAAAAAAAATAAGGTTCTAAGGATGTTGGGGAAATTCTGAAAAATAGAGGAAGGGGAATGACAAGGGGGAGGCTTATTCTGCTCGATATCAAGATAGATAGCAAGACAGATATCAAAACAGAGCAATGGAGACGACAAATAGAACAGCAGAGGGTCAGAAATGAAGTCAAATGCACTTGGTCTCATTTCACCACAGAAAGAGAACTCTTAAGTTGTCCAGGAAGTGATGCTGGGAGGAATGAAAATAAATTTTTAAAAATGCAGATATTTCTACTTCATTCACTGTATGAGGATAAATTCCAAATGAATATCCTACTTAACTATAAAACTATGATTCTGTAAAATACCAAGACAAAGCACAGAGGAATATTTTGTAATTCTCCACTGGGGAAGGTTCTTTGGCATATAACAGAAATCCCAGACGCCATAGGAGAAGATGGGTAAAATTGTCAACACAAATGTGAAGCTTCCATATGGCAGAAAACATACCATAAATAAAAAGAAAAAGGTGAAAGTAGATAGGATATTTGTAACCCTTATCACTATTTACAACCCATATAACTATTGCTGTTCTTGACCAAAAGCTTTGGCCAAATCAATAGGAAAAAGTCGCACCACCTAGTAGAAAATGTCCGTTCAGATACAAGCAGGCTGTCCACAAGTAAAAAGAATGAGGCAATAAACATCAGAAGAGCTGCCCAGCCTGTGATGGCAGAGATGCAAATTCTAATTCAGTTCCAGTGTCTCCATGGGCCCTGCCAGGCCCAATCTTTCCAGGAAGTGGAGTTCCAGCTTCTTTGGTCAATGACAACATTTTCCCCAAGATCCCTGAAAAAGCCTTGGTGAGCCCTGGGTTTGGCTCTGGGCTGGAGCGATGCATCCTGCTACCAGAGCTGGCTCTGTAATTAGCAAACCGTGTGATTATCTTGACCGTGTAAACATTCTTGGGAGTGGGGCTTGAAGATGTTTCTTGGAATCCTCTCCTGCTGGCCTTTTCTGAGGCCTCTCAGTTCAGCGTAGTTGAAAGTTTACACGGGGAGGTCTCCGGGGTTACCGTGCACGGTTTCCGGGTTTTCTCCTTAATGCTATTCTTAGCAACACTTATCCTTGAGAAGAGAGAAGGCCAGGCTCTTCAGATATATGAGTGGCATCTCCTCCCTCTTTGGATGCCGGCCACAGCCCATCCTGCGGCCGCAGTTCACTCCAGCCAGCTTCCCACTCTCCCTCCCCTCCAGTGACCCCTCCTGATAGCAGTACCCCACCCCACCCAGTCATGTCCCTGGAGCAGAGGCCTCTGTCCACACAGTCACGTCCATGGCTTCAAGAAGGATCCAATCATCCTGGAGATGTTTCAGGTTCATAGCAGATGGATCCAGAGAAGTCTTCCACTGGGCACAATCTGATTCTGACACTACTGGTCGGCAAGAACAAACCGCCATGAATCCTAAGACGTATTAGACCAAAAGCTGCCTTCCGTGACGTTCAGCCCAACACACCACCAGTGGTGGCAGCTACCAGTTCAACAGACCTTGCCAACAGAATTGGATGTAATTCAATGACCTTAGAGGTTGCACTACTCACCCTGTCCTCCAGGAGAGGAAACTGAGGCATAGGGAAGTCAGGCAACTCGTTCAGAGTCACAGGCGAGGCAGGATGAGAAGTCAGTTCACCAAGCTCAGAAAAGCCTGGTTTGGGAAGAGAACATGGTTGTCTGGGTCAAAGAGACACCCCCGGCCAGGGGCTGGGCATGCGAGAATACAGGAGGTTTAGGGGCAGGTGGTAGCCGGCGCGCCTGAGCAAGGGGTAAGTGGAAAGAGGCAACACACTGGGGCGGGATGCGGTGGAGGCTGACCTTGATTGTGACAAGATGAACCCTGGCTGTTTTTTTGCGAAAGGAGAGACGTGACTCGGGTTTCGTTCTCTCCTTTCCCTCGCTCTCCTGGTCAGCCCTCCCCGACACTGATCTTCACAGCCTCGTGCTCAGAACCTCTCTGGTCCTGAATCTTGACCACAACTGTGAGCAGTGAGCCCACTTTCTGCCTCCAACCTGCAGTCTTTCCTGCAGGAAAACGAATACGAATTGCTCTGTGTCCCTAAAGATCAGGGGTTCCAGAGATGACCCAACTGCTAGGGAGAAGAAAGTGAGTGGGCTGGCCTGCTCTGTCATGAAAACACACACTTCAAAGGTCAAGTTCTGAGATCTACGGATAGCTCAGCCACCCAGGATAAGTGGTCATGAACAGTGGCTGTAAACAGAAGGACTTGGGGTGCTGTGTACCTTGCTGTGGCTGTGCCCTCTGTCCGTCCCCTTTATATGCTGAAGGACAGAGGGTCCACGGAGGGTGAGTTGCACTCCGGGGGTGCTTCTCAGGAAGGCACAGGAGTCGCCAGCTGCCTCCTTTTCCTCCCCGCACCCCTCCCTGGAGATCTCCTATACTATGCTGCTGCTCCCCTCTATTCTCCATCACCAGCTCACCAAGTTCTTCCACGAGTGATTCCAGAGGAACTGTGAGGGTGGGGGTTCTCTGGGGCAAAAGTGAGCAAGGTTGGGGGGGGGTGCTGTTAAGGATTCCCTTTGGCCCCTGATTGCCTAGTCTCACTTCTCTCCATTCCTTGCAGGGTCAGCCGGGCACTCGAGGCTTCCCTGGATTTCCGGTAAGTGGGGAAGGAAGTTAGACTCCATGTGAGTTAAGCTTCAAGCCCAGAAGCTGCTCTTGCCCTTCCAAGCCCAGGTCGCTATGGCCCCCTCTCCTGCAGCCTTTCTTAGGGAGCAATCCTCGAGGCCCTCCCACCCCCCTCCCCACACACACCAGAAGTCCGTTTATAATGCAAGAGAGGGCAGGGAAATAGGGCAGCAGCTGTAAGCTGAGCAGGATGTAGGAATGGGGGATAGGTCGCCTCCAGGGAAGCAACTGTGCCCCAGCTGTGAGAGGGGCCTCTGGGGAGGCAGCGAGGTGGCATCTAGCTGTCCCTTGACCTTCACCTAAGGGGCCTGAGACAGGCTGTAAGAGGAAGGGCAGGGCAGGCGTTAGCTCCCCTTTTCCTGCAGCCTCGGAGCTGGCCAGCCCTGGCTGTCTACAGATACACTGTCCACTCTCCTTTTGGGGCCATGGGGTGGACTTTTGATAGAAAAGGGGTCTTCCCAACACTGGGTCCCTGGCACTTGGAATTTCAGCCACTCTTCACATGGGCCTCTGGTGGGAGGTTGTTTTTCTCCCTGCCATTTAACACGGGAACCTGAGGTTTAGGCTTCCCCGTGGTCACATGACTAGTACATGGTCCAGTGGGAACTCTGAGCCCTAACTTGCTGGAGTCCGGCCCACTGGCCCAGGCTGCCTCTTTGGCAAAAGACCTACAGTGCTCAGTCCTCACAGCTGCCTCTTTGTTTCAGGGTCCCATTGGTCTGGACGGCAAACTGGTGAGTGAACCCTCTTGAGCTGTGGGCTCTCCCCTTCCCTTGTTCAGCTACCTACCTGGTGTCTTGGACCTGAGCAAGACCCCGATTGCTCTACCTTAGGTAGAGTGAGTGTAACTGATACAGAAAGGCATTGCCAGTCAGAAGAGGAGAAGCCATTCGAATGGCTTGCTCCTGGCCCCAGGGCACCAAGGCTCCCCAACTGGCACTGCTAGAAGGGGAGCAGACGCAAGGCAGGGAGCAGCTGAGGGGACAGGAGGGGGCTCAACCTGATTCTCTAAAAGCAGCCTGGCACTTGCTCCCATACTTGACCTCACTCCCCAGCACCACCATCCCCCGCACCCCTTCTCATTATGGCCTCCTATCCACGTCCGCCCAAGCCCACATGGAGGCTGATCCCCAGCACCGCTGTCCCCCACACTCTCCCCCTGATGGCCTCCTATCCTGGCTGAGACCCCACGTCCACCTGAGTCCACATAGAGGCTGATTCCCAGTCGGTAGCCAGCCCCAGTGTGGGCTCCAGACACAAAGGTCATGGGGGAAAGGAGACCCCCTCCCCACTCCTAGGAAGGAGTGAGCAGAAGAGAGCAAACCCCTCTAGTGTCCCCAGAGGGACAAGTGAAGGCGCTGTGCCAGGTCCAGCCCTGCCCGCTCGCTTCCCCCCCAGCAGCTGATGCCCTCTCGGATGAGGGTGACCCCCCCACCTGTCACCTGCAGCTAGAGCTCAGCACAGTGAAGGACTTGGAGGTCATTTCCCTCATCTCACAGGACCCAGAGTCCCTCAGGACTGCCCTGGGAGTATGGGTGGGCAGAGGCTGGGGTCCAGAAAGACGCCCTCTTGCGTCTGTTCTCTGAGGGCTGGTAGCTGCTAAATAAGCCTAAAGAGCAGTGGGCGGGTGGAGGACGGGGTGGAGCAGCCGTGAGCAGGCGAGTGTGCAAGCCACGTAAGTGAGCATTGGGTGGCAGAGGGAGACGCCGGATGTGGTGGGGCGGGGGCTTCTGGGTCACAAATAACGTACCTGGCCCTCATGCTCTTCTCCTTCCAGGGCCACCCTGGACCCAAAGGGGAGATGGTAAGACCCCAGCTTTCCTCCTTCCCATGAGAGGTGGTGGGAGTCAGCCTGGCCCTCAGGGGCCACAGCAACACTGCCCAGCAGAGGGGACCGCGGGAGTGGCAGCCCCAGTCACTCCCAGCTGTTGTCAGCACCCCGCCTGGGTCCTCACGTCAATGTGGGGTGAGGGGGGTTGGCCACCAGAAAAGTGAAAAAGGGGGGTCCAGAGAATCCAGGGTTGGCCAGTGTCCAGGCTTGCTCTGTGCTCCCACATGCCAATCAGACAAGCTGGTGAGCAGCACTCGCCCCAGGGCGCGGGGGGAGGGGGGGGTGTCCACCCAGTAATTTCCTTCCAGAGAGGCTTTTGTCCTCAGCCTGACCCCTGCTGGGCAGCTGGGGAAGCAGGCCGAGGCCTACCACTCTCTACGGCCCTTTGGAGGATCCTCCCCTCTTCGGTCTCCCCCAGGCCACCCCTTCCAAAGGAAAGGGCCTCCTCTTATCTGAATCCTGCCAGTCTGGGCTGGGGCCAGTTCCCAGCAAGCCCAATGTCCTGAAGAACAGATGGGGTGGCCCTGGGGAGAGCTGGCTTCCTGCCTCCAGGTGGTCTCGTGAGGGGCCACCTCCTGTTCCTGTTCCATGGGGTTCGCAGAAGGGCCCTGCATTTGTAGTGTCTGGACAAGCAACGCAGAGGCTCCTTGTCCAGCTGGGATCTGTCCCATGCCTTGCTCCAAGTTCTGGGGTGCAGACGTTCTCCACCCACAAGCAAGTCATTGCCAGGACTGGGAAGCCAGAATCGTCCCCATAAGTGGGGGTAGGAAAAGGACATGGGGAGTGTCAAGTGGGGATCTGACTTCACCCCAGCTCTCCCTAACTAGCCATGAGACTGACCCCCCCCCCCAAAAAAAAACCCCACTCCCTCTGGGCCTCAGCCTGTCCTCTTGACTCAGGTTCCATTTACTGAGGGGCTCCTATGTGGTAGGTACCAGGCTCAGGGCACATTATCTCATTTACCCTCCCTGTAACCCTGCACCCCAGGCCCTGTTAGTGCCCCCTTTGACAGCTACGGAAGGTGAAGCTCAGAGAGTCTAAGTAATTTACCTGAAGTCACACAGCTAGGGAGTATCCAACATAGACTCCAAACCTACTTCTTGAATTCCTTCCCTCCACATATTTGCCTTTCTTCTCTTTCTTCTTTATTTCCCTCACTTCCTTTACCTCCTTTAATGCATGTGTTTTGAGTGTCTACAGTGTGCTAGGCACTGTGCCAGGTGCTAAGGGTATAGACAGAACTCTTTGCCATCCAGTAGTTCACAGTCTAGTGACTTTAAATAATCGCCATTAATTGACACATTGCCTCGGCAGTATGTGTTTCGAGATGGCAATACTAGATGCCCCGAGAAACCTCAGTTAACAGCCTTTCCATGCTGAGGGGCAGAGAGAGCTTTCCTGAGGGACGAGGATTTAACTAAAAGACAAGGGAACAAGAGGGGGCATTCTGGACATCAGGAACAGCGTGTGCAAACACCCTGGCGCAGGAATGCTTTCTAAGGAACTGAGGAAGGGCCGTGAGGCATGGAGGATGGTGGCAGGAAAGCTGGCTTGGCAACCAGATCCGCCACGCTCCACTCCCTCTCCGCCACCTCTACAGCAAATGCATTCTTGCTTTCCTGACCCTTTCCTAAGCATGCTGTCCATAGGCATGAAGCGCAGGAACTGTGGCAGGAAGAACTTCCATGCGGCTGTTGTCATAGAGGCATGAGAGCTCTGGATGCCAGGGCGTCGGTGGCAACCCAGAAATAATAATGAATAATGATGGTCACCAACTAGGTGCTGTTTTGTAACCACCATAATGGCTATGACCCTCACTCTCCAAAAGGGGAAATCAAGGCACAGGTAGTTGAGTCGGTTGCCCCAGGCTACAAGCTCCTAAATAACAGTCCCATATGCTGTGTTCTTACCCCACCCCACTTTAACACCATGAGTCTTCCTGTCTGTTTGGGGGGGGGGGTCAAAGCTAAGTTTTGGGGGCAAGTGTGGGAGGGGGTGGTGATCCCATCTCCCATGAGCCCCATCAGTGTGCTAGGTCCCCTGTCTGCCTCATAGTCATCCATCACAATCTGACAGGCCACAGAGCCATTAGACTCCTGTTTGGCTTGGCACAGGAACGCCAAACTATTAATCCAACATGCTGTCTCGTCTAATTATCTTGGCCTGCTTATCATGCGTGTGTCTCCCACCCTCCTTCCCCTTCAGATGACTTCCCCTCTGCCAGGTGTCCTATGTGGGGGGGCTACGGGTATGCTTAACCTGTGTCCTCAACTGTCAAAGAAGGGTCAGCCCTGCCCCACCTACCCCAGTGTAGCTCTGAGAACTTGATGGAGGTGTAGACAGGAGGGAGGGAGGGAGTCCCGGGAGTGCTGTTAAGGAGGGGCTGGATTCTGAATCCATATCCTTCCCACCGCTCACAGGGACAGCTTGACTCCTAAGGACAGGAGGAGTCAGCTCACTCCGAGCACTCAGAACAGAACCGGGTACTCAGGAAGCAGCAAGCCTCAGCTAGCACAGTGCCCAAGCCCACCTTCAAGGGACAGCTGAGATCCAGCTAGAGTCAATTGGTGCTTAGTGTTACTGGACCTTGAAATTTTGTTAAGTTTTTTTAATTTAATATAATAGTTTATTTTTACATCACTTTGTGCCTTTTTCCATCTCAGTTGTAATCCCCGTGGACTTCCCATCACCAAATCACCCACGTGCCATCACCATAGTCCCCATTTTTTATCCCATTCCCCACTCTATCCCCAAAGTCTCTGGTATATTGTTCATTATTATTTTCTCCCCCTGTGGGCCTTGAAAAATTTTTTTAATTTATTTATTTGTGCATACAGAACTGGGGTACAGGCCAGAGGTGCAAGGGCAGTGAGAGGCTTCACCAGAGACAGAGTGGGGAGCAGAACAGACAGACTGGTGAAGTACACTGCTGAGGGGAGCAGCGGGCGGGTCAGGAAAGGTCTGCCGCGCCATGTGGGTCAGCTCCAGGGCGGGGATCGAACTCATGCCGAAGTAGCTTTAGCTTCTCAGTGCTGTGCTTTAACACACTGCACCACCAGGGAGGGCCCGACCTTGAAATTTTTATGAGAAATTTGAAATCCAGATTTTTGTTGCATTTCTTGCTCTTACATGCTGGCAATTAATTGGAATAAAACTATGTGGGACCAACAAGACACCTCTAGGGTCCACCGTTGGCCCGTGGAGCTCTGATTGGGACATCTGGACTCAAACCTGTTGGTCTCTGCTGTCCTGTGCCTTCCTGCTCTTCCCTCAGCCTTTCCCCTCTCGCTCCCCCATCACACTCCTCTTGTCCTGAGCAGGATGACCTTTCACCCCCAGTTCTTGCTCTCTGCGTCATATTCCACTGACGTGCTCCAAGGCACCTTACAGCCACATGGGCTGGGATGTCCCAGGTAATGTCGCAAAGCCACTTGTCCCCTTCCGGGAGCCTTCTGGGAATTTCCCAATTTGGAGATGGGTCCGGTAGGCAAGTTATAAGCAAGAGAAAAGCTGGTCTCCCCCATGAGGATCCTGAGTTTCTCAGTCCCCGAAGAGACTACTTCAGCAGGTGGGTCTTGGCGGGCCCTCAGGATGGTGGTTGAACAGGGCTCCAGAAGCTGGGACGCTGCCCATAGCTCTGTCCAAACTGAGAAGCCCTGCCAGCCGGGTCCCCCCCCCCCCGCCAGACAGTGTAGCCGAGTGGAAACAGCTGGACGCCTGTGGTCAGACAAGCCTGGGCTCCCATCCAGTGCCACCACTCTCTGAGCTGCAGGACCCTGTCACCATCACCTCATCCAGGGAGTGAAGCATCTTTTTCTCAGGCCAGTGTTGGTGTGAGCACTGCACGTACTGAAATCCTACCTCAAAGTGGTTCTCAAGACATAAACAACCTCTCTTCCCCTACTTTCTTCCACACCGGCCATGAGGCCTCCTCAACGCTGGGCTCAGTTCAGCCTCCTGAGAGAGCCAGCTCGATGCTCCTCAGAGAACACGGGTCCGTCCTGAGCCCAGCTTCTTGCCTCGGCCCTGAGAATGTAACAGGACAGCCTGGAAGGCACCCAAAGCCCAGAATATGGCTCAAGTTGCCAGCCTCCAAAGCCTCTCCTTCTCCAAAACCCTAAATGTCTGGACAAAACCTCCCCGTTTCCCGTCCCCCCATCACCTCTCCAACCCAGGAGTGCCTGTTGCTCAGTGGGTTTCATGCCAGTATCGGCTGAAGGCTTTCTCCTACCTCCTGATTCTATGAGAAGACAGGTTGAGGGGGGTGCCCCACAGGAGCAGAGTCACACCTGACTGTTGAAGTCTCCTTCCTGGTGGCCTGTGATGTGCATGCCAGGGCCGTGGGCAGAGACAGGGCCTCCCAGTCACACCGATGACAGTGAAGACGTAAGACAAGCCCACACACCACCTTGACTGGCGTGGCACGGTTAGATCAGGCCTTAGCTGGTGGAGCTTGGCTCTTGGAAATGGACCTTCTTACAAGCACCTGCAAATCCTGCTTCTAGCACCATCCCTACCCAGCCCTGAGTCTCTGGTTCTGGCACCTTCTTCTTGCCACTGACCTGTGTGTGTTTCCTTCCCACAGGGCCTGATGGGTCCCCAAGGACAGCCGGTTGGTACCTTATCCTAATGCTCCCCAACAAAGAGGCTTTGGGCCACTCTTTCCTTCCCTTTACTTCTAACTCTCCTCTCCATCTCTTCCTAGGGACCTCAAGGACAAAAAGGAGAAAAGGTAAGCCTAGAGATTTTCTAGAATTTTCATCTTGGGGAAGAGCCTCCCAGCAGGTAGAAAGGAATCCATCGTGGCTATTCTTAAGTCCAGGTTTATTAGCAGAATAGGAGTCCCTATGGGTCTGTGTCTGAAAGAGAAAAGGAACAAGACCCTGGGTCCCTGGAGAATGTTTTCTGCTTGGGTAGGGGGCCTGCCCCACCTGGCCCTCCTCAGCCTTTTTCTACTACCCTCACGATGTTTCCTTACTTACCTCAGAATGTGGCCCCCCACATTCTGAGAGAACCTCTGCTGGTCTTGTCCCCTGGCAAATGGTACAGGGGCCTGGCACCCCAGCTCAGAGACAGTGCTTCTTGGGGTTCCATGGCCCATATCCCACCCCAGTATCTGCCCCTTCCAGGGGCGCTGGCCAGCACTGTTGGGTGAACTCACCCCGAGAGAGCAGATACCCCCAGTCAGGCAAGGAGAATAGCTCCTGCCTCTGCCCTTATGGTAGGTGATAAGCGGCAAAGGGGTCCTGCCTAAGCTCTAAGAGGCCACTTCTGGTCAGGCTTGGGGCTTTCTTCCCTGGTGCCAGCTTGGGGAGAGCGAGGGAATCCACTCTCCTGCCTCAGGATGCTCAGACAAGAACCAGAGCTGGCAAGTGATATGAAGAAGTCCTGAAAGCACCCCAAACTCAGCCCCTCAACAGATGCCTAACAACCTCCTCTCCTTCCCTCCTCTCCCCAGGGCCAGTGTGGAGAGTACCCACACCGGGTAAGTGAAATCCTAAAACTGAGCAGGACACTTTGATCCACCCCTCAGTCTCAGCCCCCAGCTCAGCCTCATCCCCCAGGGGCCCCCAATACCTGAAGCCTCCTTTTGCTCAACAGCTAGACTCACAACTAGGGGTGTGACTGTGCCAGGGCAGACGGTGAGGTCAGTTTGTCTCCATGGCCTCCCCCGCCCGGGCATGTCCTTACGTCTCTGAGGGCCTGGCCAGCCACCGCCTCCGCACATGGCCTTCTCTGTGCAGCTCACAGGGGTCCCCGCCAGTAAGTGTGTAACTGTGTGTGAGCCTGGTGTTCTGCCTGGCTGCTTCAGAGGGACTTTTGGGTTAGTCATGACTTCAGATGACCAGACTGGACAGCTGACTGGAGGCTGATCGTTATCAGTTCAAACAGAATAGAGGAAGTCCTTCTCCAGTCAGGGTGGGTGGGGGATTGCAGGGCTGGGTGGTCTCCCATGCTCCCCCCTCACCCCAGTCTGCACCCAGTTCCTTCCTTCTCCTTGCCATGAACCCCAGAAAGCATAGCCCAAAAGACAGCTATAGCCCACCTGGGAACCCTTACATGTGTGTGTCACCAGCAGGACAGGAGAGTGCAGGCGGGCATGGCTTTCTCCAGGGAACTGGGACCAGAAAAATGTCCCTCGTTCTGTGGATCAGTATACCCTCTCTCAGCCTGGGGCGCAAGGGGTGGAGGGGTAGGGAGATCTTGAGGTGTCTAGCCCCTGTCATGGTCCTCATTGTGCCCAAAAACTCACACATCCCCCATTGTATGGCACCCACACTGCCACACACTCAGCTGGCTCAGCCCCAGGCAGGTCCTGGAGGTGGGATTAAAGAAGTGGAGACAAACAAGTCAGGCTTCATCGTAGGTTCTGGAAGGCCACCAGGAGGACCTCACTAGCAGGTCCAGTGGCTCCTGGCCAACAGTCCTTCCAGACTCTGACCCTGGGCTCCTAGGCTGGGGAAAGGCCTCCGTGGACCTCATCGTGAGTGGGTGGGCTGGGGTTGAGGCCCAGGCTGGGCTGGGGTTGAGGCCCAGAGGATGCAGGCCGGCAACTGCACAGACAGAGGCGGCCTGTCGGTGACATGTGCTCCAGGAACATGGGGCCCTGGTTTTCCGGCCAGCCTGCTCCTGGTACAATAATAGAAGGTCAGCTGTGTTTATTTGAAACATGGGCTCACAGGATTGTTATGTTACCGAAAGAAAGCATCCCCCAGAACAAAAGAAAACACAACTGCAGAACTTTGGCCGTGTGTCATGGTTGTTGAGTGAACTCATGGCGGTGAAGGAGAGGGCCTCTACCCCTCACCCAGAACAAGAAAGCAGGGTCAGAAGACTCCAGAAACCCCTTGGCCACAGAGTTCAGCAAAGCCCAACATTATGACTGCAGCCGTGTGAGAAACAAGTCAGGCAGAGTCAGAAAGGGTTTGGGGACCCAGGTAGCAGGTAGTGCAAGTGCACGTTGGCTCTCTGAGGAGTTTGTGGACAGTGGGGGTGACAGACCCACAGATACCAAGACATCCAGCTTGGTTCCAGCCTGCAGCCTCCCAGGAGAGCGAGGGTGAGGAGGGGTGGGAGTGGCGGAGGGCCCTGGGCTGGGTGCAGGGGAGCTGGTGTCTGTGGGCTGTGGCACTCAGCCTCCCCCCATGGCCCTGTCTCCAACACCTCCATTCCCCCCTCACCAGGAGTATCTAAGCAGCACTCTTGCAGCTCTGCGCTCCAACCAGATAATTACCCTGAAGGTTTGTAGGTTCCAGAAGTTCTCCTGGCAGCACTCTGCTAAGAGAACCCCTAGACACAGAGCCCAACATTGCACACCCCCTGGCTCGGGCAGCAGCAGGAGTGGGGCACCAGGGGGTGGGGGGTGGGGAGGTGAAGAGGACCTGCAATGGCCATAGCTAGGCCCCAGGTCCCCAGCTGGATACAAACCCTCCCCAGGTTGCCCCTGGTTCTTAGTGCTCATCCCAGGGGCCTCTGTGAGTTAAGTTACTTCAAAAATAAGAGATGGGTCACTTGCCAACTTTGTTTTTACATGGGTTCTAACCACTTCCTGAAGGAGTGGTTGCTTGGCTTCCATGGGCCGAGGGACCAAGCGACAAGAATTTCCAGAAATGAAAATCACATTAGATAATGTGATTGCAAGAAAATGGTTGAACATGTCGGGAGACATCTTCTTCCAGCCTTTATTTTCCAAGTCCTCCAGCCCCAGGGTGAGACCTCAGTAGCATTTAGCTCGTGCCCACACTGGTCACACCCTCAGCCGGCTCAGCCCCCAGGAGCCCAACTTGGCACTGCCCTTGACCACCCTCCTCAGATTCGCTGACACCAACCTTTCTTTTTCAACCAAAAAAAGAACCCGGAGGTTGCCACACACCAGCCTGGCTTCAAGTACCAATTTAGTTGGCCCTGTGGCTCCCGAACAGAGCCTCTGAGTCTACTACCCCTGTCCACCAACCGGGGCCGGGGGGGCTGACAGTGCAATGTTGGGCCCTGTGCCAGCATGACCACGGAGGGTGGGCCCAGCCCAGGAGGGCCACTCTCCAGTTGGTGTGCAGGAGGTGTTGCTGGACCACACCCCAGGATTCCTCCTTCCCGGGAGTGCTGTGCCGTCCAAGGGCAAGCTCAGCCCTGCACCCCACAAGCTGAGAGCGCGCCTCATCCTCACCTTCCCGCCCGATGCCTCGTGCTCACTAATCTCTCTTCTCTCTTCCTCTCCTCCCCTCCCTCCTGGCCACCTGCCTTCCTGGTGACTCTGCACCTTCTGAACACCTGCGATCTTTGGCCTTTACCCTCTGGCCCTCCAACTCATCTTTCTTGTCAGCTGCTGCCTCTCCTCAATTCAGTGCGACTGGCTCCACCCCCAGTCATTAAAAGACGGACCTTCCAGGTAGACACCTTCCCTTCACCCAGACCAGGTGTGGCTTCCCCAAGCAGCTCAGCAAGTCTCTGGACCCCTGACTGGCCAGCCGGGGCTACAGCCAGAGCCAGGATCTCACTCTACTTTGGTTAAACTAAATAAGACCAAAAACTGGCCCCCTGAATGACTCAGATGTGGGACTCCATAATCCCCGGGCCCAGGCCCGACATCCAAACCACCACTGCTTGTAACAGCCCAACAACAGTCCTCCACCAGCCACCCCTAGCACAGTGTACAGATTTGGTTGTATTTAATGCTCTCAACAGCTTTGCGTGTCAGACCTGATCATCCTTACTTCATGTTGAAGAAATTCATGTTCAGAGACTCTTAGTACATTGTCTAAGGTCACACAGGCAGTCACTTGCAGACACCTAGGTCCTCCACGTCTTACTGTGTTAATTTGGGGCAAGTTACTTAACCTCTCTGTGCCTTTGTTTTCTCATTTGTAAAATGAGGCTACAGTTCCTGCCACCTCGGATTGTTGTTGTATTGACAAAGCACTTGGAGTCATTCCTGGCACGGCTTAAGTGCTATAATTAAAACTGGGGTTCAGACAAGGGAATTTGTGCCCAAGGTCACACAAACAGTGAGAGGCCGGCTTTTCAGACCCCTCACCCAGAGCTCCCCGTCCTTTATATTGGCCCTACGTCCTTTACATTTAGAAATGCACATTGCTTAGCCTCCGATTACTTATAACCTGAGTTTGAAGAGCCAGGGAATTTGCAGAGATAGTAGAGCCCACAACCAAGAGGTAATGCTCTCAAGTACCTTTTCCTTCTTCCTGCCTTGCTAACCCAAGGAAGCAGAATAGAACCAGATTACAAAGAATAAGAGACCACAGAGCCAGGGGCTCCCCCCTGGGCATTACATCACTGCCCGACTTCAGGCTGGGCAGTGGGTGATGGCCACCTGTGCCCCCAGCCTTCCTCACAGGGGTTAACCCCCCCTCCCCAGTGCTGCAGGGAAATTGGCAATGGCAGTGCTCCGAGATGCTCTGAAAGCCTGGAGCCCCCATCTGGCCTGGCTCAGGAGTCAGGAGCCCAGAGGCCTGCATGCTCAGGCACTTGATTGAACAAGGCTGCAAAATCACGCCAATTAACAGCTAAAAATACAGTGGGACACGTGGTACGTGCTACTCGAGCCTGCATATCCCGTTACACCAGCCAAATCCTCGAGAGCTTCCATGTGCTCGCATGCTTGTCCCCCAGCACAGCTATTCAGGGGCCCAGAGCTGCTCAGAGAAGCACCAGGCTCACTGTCACCCCCTCCCGTGCCAGGCCCCCTTCCAGAAGATCAAGCGCTGACTCTCAGCACCCCTATTCACCTCAGCCCCTAACAGCTACCTCGTGGCCTGGCTCACACTGTTATTCACTGGGCTCCAGGCACTGTTGGAAGAATTCTCCATGAATTATCTCTTGTAATCCCACACCCGGCAGTAGAGTCAATAGAGTGCCCTCGTCATCATCCCCACCTCACAGATGAAGAAATTGAGAGGGGCCCAAGCATGCACGCCTCTCTTCAAGAGCAAGGGGCGTGTGTGCCAGACTTCTCTGTGCTGTGCTGACCTAATTTCCAAAGTAGAAGGGGGAAGAAGAATAGGGGCCTGTGGGGTCGCTAGTACTATTCTCTGTCTGGAGAATGAAATTTTATGCTGTCAGCCATCATGGGACAGAAAAAAAAAAGTGCCTGTTTCCTGTCGATAAGTCAGTATTGATTTGACAGGCTCTGTTAGACGCCTAAAAGTTGGTTCTAACATTAATTGAGAGAGGAAGCTTTACCTGAGATCTGATGTCTCAGCAGGTGGAGTTGAAAGTCATTTCCAAAGTTCAGAAGGTTGGACGTGAGCACTTTTTGCTGCTTATTTGGAATGAGGAGGAATATAAATATAGTCTGGAGTTCTGAGTTTGGATCTTGGCTGCCCCCAAGTTCTCCATGTGGCCTTGGCCAGGGCCTCGAATTCTCTGAACCTCAGTTCTCTCTTCTGTTAAATGGGACTTGTGACTCATTTCTGCCCCAGCCACTGGCCCCCCAGGCGGCTTCTCACAGAGTGAGCACAACTAAGCCCCGGGAGCCACCGGCCTTGGATATTCCAGCTAAGGGACAGTCCCAGCGGGTGCTGTTGACACCAGCCAGCTCTCATTCCAAGATTCTATACTCCCCTCCCCTCTGTGGAGATTGTGGCCAGCACGGTCAGCTCCCTTTCCATACAGGGAGGCAGGTGTGACCCAGAGGAGTCTGCGCGCACCCTGAGAAGGGCCAAGGGTGGACTGGAGTGGCCTGGGGCTCCCACTGCCTTTGCTGCCAGCACGCAACCTGGACTCCGTCAAACCCGCCAGGCTGTTCTGCTCTAGTGTGTCTGCAGGAAGGGGCCGTTCTCAAAAGAGAGGTCCCTGGAGAGGCCACTTAGAAAATAACATAATGGCCACAGTCTATATCTAAAGTGATTCAGGCTGGCCCCCCAGCCCCAAGATCTGGGTCACCGTCCCCAAGCTCTGTCCTCCTTCTGAGGGAACATGACGCTGCCCCTCCCAGGCCCTCTGTGTTCCTGGGCTCAGAGCAGTTGACTGAGAAAGGGAGGGCAAAAGAATAACAGTAGCTCCCCCAGACGTGCACAAAGCACTTTACAGTTGCAAAACTGCCAAGCTGAGGACTGCACACTATGCTGTCCTCTGAGGCCAGGCACTGCCCACTTGAGTGACAGAAGCAGGCTGCTGTGGAAAGGATGCGGGCTGGGGACCACGGCACCCAGAGGACTTACACCCAGCCTGAATCAGAGCTCCTTGGCTTCAATGATGCCCCAAATGTGGGTTAGCTCTGCCGGGGCTATCTTTTTTTTTATCAGAAGACACCAATCCAAATTGTTGATATAAAATGTCTTACCCAATTGTCTAGTGCTCCAAACAAGCTTCTGTGGCCTCTGACCCAAAGATCTCATTTGATCCTCGAGCCAGATCAACAGACTGCAAAAATCTGTAGCAGGAAATGAGGAACGATGGTTCCCAATGAACAAGAGTCTTTGGGACTAGCGCACAGAGGGTGGGCCAGAGGCTGAACTCTGGTCCTCTGTGGTCTAGGAGCAGGCTCCAGTCCGGCTGAGGTGACTCACTCACACCTCTGCCACACACACACACACACACACACACACACACACACACACACACACACACACACACACACACACACACACACACACACACACACACACTCTGTCAGGACCAGTTGTTCTCTCAGTGAGTCCTCTCCGAAAGCCCCTTCTCTTGGGGCCCTAACATCTTGGCCATCTCCTGGCTGCCTCCAGTCCCTGCATGTAGTCACCACAGCATCACACATCACGCCACTGCCACCCCCCACCAGAGCCCACAGCGGGGCCTTCACCGGGTGCATGGCGCTGGGGCGGGAACTGAGCCAGGGCCCTGGGGACTCTGTCTAACACTTGTTTCCATGGACCTCAGGGTGAACAGGGCCAGGCCGGCATCCAAGGCCCACCAGGGCCACCAGGCCCCCCTGGACCCAGTGGACCTCTGGGACACCCAGGATTGCCAGGGCCCATAGGGCCCCCCGTAAGTAGCCCCTTCCTCTTGCTACCATTTCCTGCTTCAAGATTTGTCCCAGGAATTCTCTGTCGCATAGGGCCTTCTAGAACCAACGGGAATCTGGGCCCCAGTGAGCAGCAGAAACATGTGGCAAGGTCACTGGAGGTGGGATATACCTGCTGAGGAGCTGCCCACCGCCTAACCCTCACCAGTTATGCTCTGGTTTTGAAATCTCACTTCTAGGCCAGGTCCTCAACTCCAGTCATAGCCTACCAGGGAGACAATCATGACCAGGTTGTCCCTCTCCCAGGCTCAGCAGAGAAAAGCATGAAGAGAAAGCTCCTGGGACCCCCTCTGATGGCTGTGCCCTGGGGCTTAAGAAACCCTGAGCTGGGGGGCGAGGATTCTGAAGGAGTCAGAAGGGGGATGTCTGACTACCCAGCATGCTGACAGACCCCGCGCTCCTCAAACCTCCCCAATGCCTAGTCTGCTGAAGGGACCCTACGTCCCATCTGAGGCCTGGCAGGGGCCACTGCTGAGCGGCCCAGGAGACCAGCAGGCATCCGTCCAGGCAAGGGCACACCGGTTGCAAATGAAACCCAGTGGCTTCTAGCTCACCCATTCTCAAGTCCTGGCCGAGACCTCGAGACCTGACTCTCAGCCCAATGCAGTGTACAAAAGGCCAGCAGAATCACTCAGCAGCCCCCGTTCTTCTTTAGAGAGAATGGCTTCTCCAGCAGAGTCAAGCTAACGTTGGCCGTTATTGCAGAAATAGAGGTGAAGGATAAAAGGTTGTCTAATATTCTTTTCCATGTGGCTTTAAAAAAAAATTCGCCCTTATGACAAAAGTGCCATATATTTATTGTGAGAAATCTGGAACATAGACAAAGAAAACGTTTTAAATTGCCTGTATTCCCATCTCTAGAGTTTACCATTATTAACATTTTTGGTCAACCCTTCCGTTTTTCTACTTAGACAAATTTGTGCATAAAACATTTTCCAGGCTGGTGATGTTCTGAGTGATGTAATAGTTTGTATCCTGTTAGGTTTTGCTTTCATGCCATAAACCATGCCCTTTCCTTCATCAGGAGTCTCCTGTGATACAGACACTAGGGCTGCAGGCCTATCTATTAGGCAGTTAATGAGTTCCCGCTGGTGATATAAATCACTGAACAGAAATGTTTGCACGCATCTCTAACTCTTTCCCTAGAATAGGTTCCCACAGGTTCAGTTGCTAGGTCTGGGATGTCCCTCCAAATAGCCCTTGATGAACACACCTTCCAGGGCTCTGGGCTTCATGTCATGTCTGGGCCCTTTGGCTGTCCATCTGCCAGTACAGGTGTAGGGTTCCCCCATGCTGGTCACAGTTGGGATGGACCAGAGCACCCCACTCAGTCAGAAGGCAGCACAGCAGTGCAAACTCAGACTTTTTTGGGGGCCACTCCCCTGTCCAACAAGAGATTTGAAATATGTCTTTGATTTCACCTCAAGGTCTCAGGGAGGGAGATTAGTCTCACTTCCATGCATTTCTAGATGGGGAAGCAAGAAACCAGAAAAAAAGTGGAAATTAGGGACTTGAACCAAACCAAGCAGCGAAATCCCAAAAAAGAGCTCAAACTTTTCTTCCTCACTGACTGCCCTCTCCCAAATGGACTGGGCTCCCACCCACTGAACCCCAGCCAGGTGGTTTTCTTTGTTAGGCTGTTTATAAAGGAAAAAACCAGAAAGCGTGCTCTTTAAACCAATTGAAACCGACCAGGCTTGGGCATTTTGGTTTCCTCCAGCCCTTGTTTGCCATCCAGACCTACACCCACGACCACGATGGAGCCGGCCTTCCCTTCTTCCCTCACCCCACCCTCTTGGGCTCCCACAGGCCTGGGGCCCACACCAGTTCCCCAAATCTAACTGCCATGGTCACCCCCACCCCACCCAGCCCAGGCAGAAGGAGACAGAGGTCTCTCCCGCAGCTGGCGGAGCCAAAGGCAAAACCAAGGTTGTGCTGGGCAAGGTCAGTTCTCCAGGGAGGGGTCCCAGCTGGGAGGTGGGAGCCCTGGGATCTGAGCCAAACCACACTGTCAATTTAACATGATGCCACTGACTTATTTTCCAGTGGGCAAGCACAACAGAGATGCCCAGGATGCCTACATGGCTCCAAAGAGAGACATGAGCCCACTGTCCCCACGTGCCCTCAGCAGGCTTTAGATACCCTTCCGGGACCCCCTTGTCCTGTTCAGTAGTGTACCTAGAACTCATTACAGGTTTGGGGGGGATTTCTCCCTGTGTGCCAGCCTCTACTATAAATATGATGAACCTCAATCATCTCCACTCACCTCTTGCTTATTTCCACAGGGTTTGCCTGGGCCTCCTGGATCAAAGGTGAGGGACTTTTGGGGTGATGCACTGAGTAGGAGTGGGGGGGGGGTGAGATTTCCCTGTAGGAAGGAAAGGAGTCAGCAGCACAGATTCCTGAGAAGAGCCCAGAGATGACCCACACTTGGCTCACTTCTAGACTCCAGTCCTCTTTAGGAATTGTCCACAAAAGATTGCACCTTTGCATGCCGGGGGCTAAGCAAGTGTGCTTTCTGGCATGGGAGTTATGGTCCCAGCCTCCAAGGAGTTCATCATCTAGTTGGAAACTCAAGGTTGATCCCCAGAACTGTCACAACATCTCAATAAAATAGTGTCTCATAAGGTCTCAGGGCTGGAGGGGCCTTTGGGGACCTCTTGGGAAACCTTACCACAAAGCCATGGCGTCAAACAGATTCTCCCTTTGAAGTTGGGGGCCCTGGAGCTCTGGAAATGAGAAGCTGCAAAACACTGATCCTGCCCAACCATTTTATGATGTGGAAACTAAGAGCCCTGGAGCAAATACTTGTCCAGGTTGACAGAGGGTCATGAAGCTCAGGTCTCCTGGGTCTTGGCCCAGCTGACCCGTCCCACCAGCCCTCTGTCTCTGCAAGGCAAGGACTTGTTCTGAAACAAGGCACAGACTCTGCTGTTGTTCCAGGGATGGCCGGGTGGAGCGGTCAGGGGAGTCTGGAGGAGGAGGGATGGTAATGTGAGAGAATGAATGAGCCAAAGCTTGACACTGGGAAAGCCCTTCTCATGGTCCTCTCTTTATTCCTCCAGGGAGACCCAGGAATCCAGGGCTACCATGGCCGAAAGGTAAAAATGAGAGGGGTGGGTTCCCCAGCAGTAACCCAGTGGGTCTTCCCGCCGTGCAGGGCTCAGTTGCACACACGCCCTAATACACTACCCCTCCAAGAGCCGGAAATGCTTGTGGCTACCTGAACAAGGGTCTGTGTTCAGAACATGGAGACTCAGGGGGCCAGGAACTTGTGCAAATGAGGCCCAAGGAGGGTGTCCTTCACCCTCCTGAGTGACCGTGTCTGTAGGGTCTCACTGCCCCCAGGGGCCTGGATTCCTGGACCCCACTCTGGACAGAGCTCCAGGCCAAGGATGGGAAGGGGGGTAGAAGGGGAGGAGTAGGGTGCTAACTCTGCTCTCTGGCCCCTCACAGGCCAGAGAGAGAGAGAAGAATCCCTGCACAACTGGCCTGGGTGAGGCAGACCCATCTGTTTCCATCACAGAGCAGAATGTGGACACGCGGGAGTGGGTAGGCAGGCCGCTGCCTGGTAGGGGCACGTGGGAAGCCTTCCAGTAGAGACAGCTCTAGCTTGGCCAGTGGGTAGGTGTGTCAGTTCCCTATTGCTGTGTAACAAATCATCCTAAACTTTCCAGCTGAAACAATGTCTTATTTCTCACAATACCATGTACTGGCCAGTGGGCGGCTCGGCTACCCCACCCCCACCACCCAGAGCTGTAGTATTAGATGATGAATGGAAAGACAGGAGGGACCAAGATGGCGTCATCCTCGCGTCTGGGGTTTGCCACTGGCAGGGGGCTGGCTGCCTCCACCTGGCCCCTCATTCTCAGCCAGCCAGATTTCCTTGCAGCCAGGGAGGCCCAGGGCCATGTTTAGAATGGGCAAGGTCCAGTGCACAGGGCTTTTCTAAGGTGTCCACCTGCACCCCGCTTTCGGATATCCAGTTAGTCAAAGCCAAGTCCTGGGAGGACGACACTCGGCCTCCCCTCCTCTTCCTGACCATCATCCCTCCTCTCCTGGCCCCAACCTGCCACCCTCCTTGTAGCAGAGCTGTTGAGGCCATTTTTCACCCACCACTGTTGTCCTGCAGCCAGCAAATTTAAAAGAAAGTGGCATTTTAGACAGGGAAACAATCTGAGCAGAGGGCAGAGTGGTCACTGCATGAACTGTCATAAAAATAATTTGAATAGTAGGCACTGCTTACTGAACACCTTCTATGTGCCAGGCGTCCTGTGTATCAGGCCATCTGCATTCCTTCTCATCTTGACGTGGCTCATGAGACCGAGTCTTTCCTTCTACTTAACCAAGTAAAAACTGAGACTTGTCCAAAGTCTCAGGATTTCTAAGTAGGAATCCAGTGCAGACTTGGTCCTCTTGATGCTACCTGCTGCAAGGGACCCACCCCACCCTCGAGACCCCCCCACAGGGGAGCCTCTGGAACTTTCCAGAAGAAAAGCATCAGGAAGGAAAGGGAAGCCTCAGTCCAGAGAGAGAGAAGCACATTCCTCCGGCTCTGTAATCCGGCAGCTCCCATCACTGCGCTGTTTCATGGGCGCTTGGTGGTGAGACGGTGAGGCCTGAGAGATCTTTAATTAGTTCTGCATAAACTGAGCAGTTTGTGTGGTGTCAGGAAGTGGAAATTATAGCCTGGTGGTTGCCTCCATCCACTCACGCAGCCTCACAAAATTTACTGCCTCCTGCTGCCGGGCAGGGTCGGTTTCCTCATTAGGAGCCAGGCCAGCTCGCTCAGGCTTGAAGGGGCTTCAGGGTGGTAGTGGCTCCCTCGAGCCTGGTCAGTGCCTGGTGGCCATCCGCTTTGTCCTACCACCTGGAATGCCAGGTTCATCGGAAGGCAGCTTGGAGGTCTGTGTCCCGAGGATGGTGAGGCCTCAGCACAGGGCCAGGGCGTCCCACGGATGGACAGGCTTGGTCCTATGAGGGTGGCAATCCTGGGCTTAGATTGTGGGGGCTCATTCAACCCTGGCTGCAGTGATCCTGCATGAAGGCGCCAGCATGGTCCTGCTGACCTGAGCAGCTCAGAGCTGCTGGGGAAGATTCTAGCCCTGGGGTGGGGGTGGGGCGGGTGCATTTCTGCATGACTCCATTGCTTGTGAGTGAAACTACAGAAGGAGCAGGGGCAGCTAAGAGCAAGCTTCTTCGATCACTGGGGCCTTGGCGAGGCCGTCACAGGGCCATCACGAGAGGTTCTCAGGTAGAAGCTGGGTAACTATGGGTCAGGATGTGCTGAGAAGCTTCTACTGCAGATGGAAGGCTGCTTCCAGCTCAGGCAGCAGCAGCCTCCTGGGACAGAGTGGACGTGGGTGCAGGTCTGCTTTGGGAGGCGTCTTGACCTCTGAGACGTGTGGGTCTTTCCTTATCCACCTGCAGGGCTGGTTAGCAGCACCACACGCCAGAGCTCAGGAGGAAGCAGAAGCCTTTCCTTCAATACCCACTTGCTTCCCACCCTTTCTTTCTCCATCAGACAGCCCCCCCAACCCCTGCCCCCCCGCCCCGTGTCCCACCACAAAGGCCTTTCAGGCCTTTCCTCATGGAATCTGGAGGGGCTGCTTGCTCCCTCCCCCTCACTGCCTCTCTCATTAAATCTTTTCAGTGGGTGTTTCCGGAGCCCCCACCCACAAAGCCAACCTGCCTGCAGGTATTCTCACTCTGCTGGACCCTGTTCTGCCACAGTCTCTTCGCCCGATAGAGGCCAGGGGGCAGGCACTGGGGAGCAAAGGTCACCTACCAAGGTCTGGGGGTCACTCCTTAAGGTTAAGCGGCTCTCAGGAGGCTACAGGTGCCTGTCTCAGTACCTAGACCCACTGGGGCAGGGGGCACCCTGACCCCTGGGACCGCCACACGGAACTCTGCTTCCCATCAGAGCTCTGAGATACAGACTGGTGCCCCCAGCTTAGCCAAATTGGATTCATTCCCATTTCACTGGGTTCCTACCAGGGCCCTGGGGTAACAGCTCAAATCGGCCGCTGTGCAGGTAAGCTCAGAGAGGTTAACACCTCGCCCAAGGCCACACAGCTAGCGAAGTCATGCTAGTAGAACAGGAACTAGGTCTCCTGAGTCCAGGCGCAACAGCTGCTTTGTCTCCCCGCCACCCCAGTGCAGGAGTCGAGGCCGCTCAGGAGGTCTCACCCCAAGCCAAGCTAACTGGGCACCCACCCCCAGTTAGCTTAAACCACCCCCGCCTGCGGTTTCTCCGGGCTGGACGGGTTACCCCTTAAGCTGTCTTCTTTTGTCCATCTCTCTTTCCTCTTTCCTCCCCACTCTGCTGTCTGCCTGGTTAAAGGTGCTAAATTCAAGGGCCGCTTGATCACAGATGCTGGGGAGATGGGTTGGCCCTGCTCTACACCCCCGGGAGAGGGGGGCAGTGGGAACACGGAGCAGAGATGAGGCGCCTATGTCCAGGGTATGAGCGGACCTTGGGGAATGGACGGGCCCTTCGTGTGTGCTTTACTTCTCTGTCCGGACCCCTTGATGCACACGCGTGGGGGGCCCCCCTTCAGCAGGGTGGAATGTAACTCAGCAAAGACACGTCCCCGCCAGTGGGGTTTGCTCGTGATTAGTTCCATCCCCCTGTCAGCTGGGGCCGCCTGGCATCCTCTCAAAGGCCATCCAGGGCAGCAGGGCAGGCGCTTCCACAGCCCCTTGAGATCAAAGCCCAGAGCAGCCAGCAGTTCCTCGCTGCCTCCAGCCCTGCTCGGGGCCTGCGCAACTGCTTAGACACTGCAAGTACAGTTGTGGTCCATGTGGTACCTATTTGATCCAAATTTATGACGCCAATCTACTTTAAATATGTTGCGAGACACAAAGTATGTTTAAAACATTACAACCCTGGCTCTCTTTCAAGAGAATTGACAAATATTTTCAGGCTGTGTGTGGATCCCAAAAGCTGGTGAGAGCTTATCTCTAAGTTCAAGGGAGCTGGTCCGCTCGCTGGGCAGTGGGGTACTGTGTGACGCACGTGGCGGTCTGGGTGCTAAGCTTCGGGGCTCGCATGCGGGACCACTGTCCCCTACAAGCTGCAGGTGGGGCCTTTCCAGACCAGAGGCGGTAGGATGAGCATCATGCTCCAGCTGTTTATCACTGCAGTCCCGCCTCCCTGGGGGCCGCAAGGAAGGCGACCCTGGTGGACACCTGCTGTGGAATGATAGCTGCTATGATCACACTGTCTTACTGGGCCCCTTCAGCCTGCCAGGCTGTGGAGAGGGCACTTTGCCTGCCTCGTCTCATTGAATCCTTACAACAACTCTGTGAGGTACGCTTTATTCTTATCCCCGAATTATAGATGAAGAGAGGGTCACAGAGGTGAATCCCCAAAGATTCACAGCTAGTGAAGCCGGGTCTGTCTGATCCCAAAGCCTTGCTCTGAATGACTAACGACCTCTTGGGTCCTGTCAGTACCGGGCAGCCCCCAAATGTCCAGTAGCCCTTTCCCTCTCCTGCCCTATAGCAACAAAGGAGTTGGGGTTTGAGTTGTTTTCTTTATTGTGAAATAAAGGTGGTTCAGGGCTTTCTCTGTGCCTCCCAGGCTCCAGGGAACAGCACCTGGAGTATCTGGGGTTTCTGGTGGGTCACAGTTGAAGATAAAAGGAAGTGGGGTGCTTTGTCATCAGCATTGTTGCCCCAGGAGCTGGGATAGTCCCTGGGCTTCTCACAAAGCCAGGAGAAGGTAGCTTGTCCCTGCCCTTCACCGTAGCTCCTGAGAGCTCCCTGCAGCTTTTTGTCTCCCAGAATGAGAACATCCCTATGCTACTCACAGGGCACAGGGAAGCCTTAGGTGCAGGAGGCTGCAGGGGTCGGAGGTCAGCATTCTTTTTCAGAGCCATGAGATCCCTGTGGAGAACTCCAGACCATTTACAGATCGGGGACCTGAGACATAGGTCCAGATCTGAGGCTTTAGGGGGCCGAGGGGATTGTAACCTTGCCAGTCTGCAGCCCACAGCTTGTGCTGTGTGGGCCCCAATTCCCTGCACTCCACAGATTAATTAGAGCTGACTTTTCTTTTTGGAACTAACTACAAAATCAACCGATCTCAAATCGAGATTACAAGCCAGCCGCCCTTCCAAAGCCCTGGCCTTCAATGGGGTGCCTGACCCCGGTAATTCCCCAGATCACTTCCTGCCTGTCCTAATTACCAGATGACCTGGCATTTCCGAGGCTCCAGTTTTCTCTTGTCTGGAGCTGGCTAGGACTGTTTTCCCGGAAACAGCCCAGTGAACTCTTTAAGAGAGAAAGATGTTAGCCATCCTCACCCAGCTTCTCCAAGGCCAAGGAAGGGCCCCTGGTTCAGACCTGGGCCCGAGCTCCCGGCTGGCCCCCTCCCCAACCCTCCACTCCCTACACACTCAAGCCGGGCCTTCCTCCTCCCCTGCAGAGAACAAAGACTCTGTGTGTGGAGCTGCCTGCAGCCAGGCCCTCCCCACAGAGCCTGGCTGTAGTGGAAGGTTCGGGAGGCCCATTCATCTCCCCTCCTGCTTCTCCAACCGACCTTTGCTTGGCTGGGGAGCTGACCTTGAAGCCCCCCACCTCCCTCCCAGCTGTGTCTTCTTGCCAAGACCCTGCCTCACTTGATCAACAAATAGTAAATCACCAATTAAGAGGCCACCCCCACAGGACAGGAGCACGGCTGGTTTGTGTTCCGAGGAGCCTGGCTCCGTCCTGTCATCTCAGTAAAGGATGGGTCTTCCCACCTGGAAGCAGGGCCAGAATAGAGACCCTATTGATGCCGTGCTGACAGGCAAGACCTGGCCGGAAAGCCAGTGTGTGGGGAGTCAGCCCCGGGCCGGCCTGCGGGCCCATTCGGGTGGCCAGTCTCGTCCACCCGTGCTGACCAGAGCCTCCTCGGCCACAAGGACTGGAATCCACCCCTGCCAGGCCTGCTGTCAGGAATGGTCTTCCACCACCAGGATGGTGGGCCAGCCCACTCTGGGCGGCTCCCGCCTGCTTCCATACTCTTTGCACCTGGGCCACTGTCCCAGCTGCAAGATGACCCAGATCCGATGGCTGAGACCCCAGTGGGGGAGCCTTTGGGCACCCCCTCTGAGAGGACAAGAGAAGGCAGAGGTCAAGAGAATAAGCTGGTCCCTTGTGCTGGAACAGACTGTGAGTTCTGTGCTGTCCAGGCAGAGGACAGCAGTGAGTTCGTAAGTTTAAAAATTCAGCACAAATCCAAAGTTAAGCCTGTTAAATAGGAACACATTTTTTTTAAGATTTGTTTTTTATATAATAGTTTATTTTTACATATTTCTGTGCATTTTTCCATCTCAATTGCAATCCCCGTGGGCTTCCCATCACCAGATCACCCTGAGCCATCACCATAGTCCAGTGCATTTCCCTCCCCCCACTGTTTTTGATCCCATTCCCCACTCCACCTCCACATAATGTCTCTGGTATAGAGCTGTGCATCATTATCATTATTTTCTCGCCTGTAAATAGGAACACTTTTAGGAGGGAGATGGGGGAGGAGGAGCCCCAAGATGTTCTCTTGCAAAGCTTCCCCACTAGGAAAAACTAGCAGTACGCCTTGTCCTCTAGCAACAGCCACCAAAAGCACACACACACATACACCCACATGCACAGAGACACACTCACAGGCACCCACATATGCACACACAGAGCACATGCACTCACACATGCAGCTATATATGCACAGAGAGACATGCACATGCACTCACACATGCAGTCACGTATGTACACACATACACTCACACACGCACTCACGTGTGCACACAGACAAGCACATACACTCACATACAGTCATAGGGGTGCACAGACACGCACATAAACTCACATGTGCGGCCTTGTATGTACACAGACAAGCGCATACACTTGTATGTGCAGCCATGTGTGTGCACAGACAAGCACATGCGCGCACACATGTAATCATGTATGCACACAGGCTGGCACATACACTCACGCATGCAACATACTCACTCACAAACACACTCTCTCCCCTTGCCGACAGCCACCCCAGAGTCCTTGATAATGACTCTTGCTCCTCTTCCTCTTTACCCACCATGCGGGAGATCAAGGCTCTCTGATGGAAGACCAGTCCCTGGTGCAGAGGTCAGCAGGGGCCTTTGAGACAAGCCCTCGAGAAAGAGACTAATGAGAGTGGAATGAGCCTGCAGGGTGGGGTCAGTCAGGGGCTCCCTGCTTCCTGCCCAGCCAAGGGGTGGGCGTAAAGGAGGCTCAGAGATGGGATTAAGGAAGCCTGAGTCATTTGCAGAACTAAGAGACTTGACCCAGAGGGGAGGCAAGGGCGAAGGTCAGCCTCCCTAATGAGAAGGGCTGTCTCCTGAGGAGGCTGTGAGGGCCCGGATGACCCTTGAGAGCAGGGCTTCTGTGTCTTTACATATAAACCGACTTGGGCAGAAGGCAGGCCCATCAGCCCAAAAGCCTCTCTCTCTGGGTTTCCCTTTGCGCTCACTCATGTGGCAACTGGAGACAGAAGTGCCAAGACTGAGGTGAAGCAGTCTCTGTGCCCCTCCCCTGCTGAGCACCCCAGCTGCAGGGGAAGGAGGGGAAAGCTGGGACACTTCCTAGAGCAGCATTTGTACATAGAGGAAACGCTCCTTTCCCAGTGGCACTTTTGTTCTAGAACGGCCCACAGAGCCAGGGACACCCCTCCAGCCTCAGCCTCTCCCTCTTGAGCGCCTGACAAGGAGCGCACCGGTGATTAGGACATACCTGGCCTAACCTCACTTTGCAGACCAGGATCCTGAAACCGGACAGGGAAAGTGACTTATCTGGGACCACACAGCCTCTCTTGACGCCCAGCCTGATTCCCCAAAATGGAGGTAGGCAGAGGAGGTCAGGGGCACTGGAGTAAAGCTGAGGGGAAGAAGACTGACAGTCAGGGACTCCAGAGCGGGACTTCCACTTTTGCTCCCAACCCAAGGGGCTCTCGCTGGTGACCGCCCCGGAAACTAGTGTCCTTAAGGCTGAGTCAACTGGCCAGCCTGTTCGGGATGTTAGCAGAAGGCCCTGTTCCAGAAGAACGAGGAACAGAAGCCCCAAGGAGCTCTCCCGAGGATGGGGCTTTGAGACTTTTGTGGCCACAGTTGCTGACTTCAGGCGAGGTCTCATGGCGCCCTCTGCTGGCTGCACAGCAGACCTGCGCTCTCAGGCGCGGCTGGCCCAGTTCTCCCTGGGGCCTGTGGTTGAAGACTGGGTCCCTAGAGGAACTGCCCTTACACACCAACCCTTTAATGCCCTTGGAACCCAACCCTGGGGGGTAGCGTCAACCTTCAGAGAGGCTTAATGGGAGCAAATGGAACATCAGTCCATCTGATACTGATGTTGGCCTAAACAACAGGCACCTAGGCTCTGGCAGACAAAAGCCTGGGTTCACATTCCTGCTCTGCATGCTCTTGGCAATTATATCTGGCCTCTCTGAGCCACAGTTTGAAACCCTGTGAAACTCCCACATTGGAGGGGATACTTGGAGATTGAATGAGGAGGGGTGGCTATCCTGTGCCAGACACACCACTGCAAACGCAGTGAACGGCCCTTCCCTCCTCTGCTCTGCCCCGCAATGGGGGTTCCCCAAATTTGGTGACTGGGACAGACCTGGGGCACCAGTTTTGTTTACCGGGGTACTTCTGAGTTCATCTCCAGCACTTCTCCCTATTGTTCAGGGGCCTTGGTGAGTCAGAGTGAGGAAGGGCTCCTGCATTTTGGAGCTAAAAATGTTGGACTTTGGGCAGAATTCAGAAATTTGACAGTCAATGGAGGTGAAACCCTCTTAGGCAAACCTGAATCTGTGCGTCCAGACTGCAATGCACAGTTCCCCCAGTCTCCACCCTTTACCGCCCCCCCCCCAACACACACACACATAAACACTGGGTTATAGGCCACAGCTACAATTCTCAGAGAGACGGTATTTGGCCAGGCACTTATCTGAGGAAATGGCAGGAGACACAGAACCACGAATGCAGGTAATGCCTTCAGCGAAACAGGTACGGGTGTCGGGACGCTGAGTGATGAGCCCAGGAGGGGTCCGGGGTGGGATGCCCCACCCAGGAGCCTGGGCCCTTTGCCGCAGCCAGTGCTGGATAGTTTTGAAGGAACGTGTTACCCCAGCCTTGAGAAGCTCCCCAGTGCCGGCCTGGAGGCCCTACTAGAGGGGAGACATCAGAAGCAGCGCTAGCTTTGGTGAGCAGAAAAGAACTAGAGTTTCTGCAAGATGACAGAGAAGGGGCAAGACTGCCTGAAAAGGTGGGGAGAAGGGGAGTTTCAGTCAACCAGGCCTGGTCGGGGGTCTCTCTACCCCTACTCTGTGGACTAAGGCCCCGCAGGTCTGCCTCTTTCTGGATTCCCTTTTCTTCTCTCATCTGTGGCTTGGATCCTCTTGAGTTCACATAGCCAAAGTGGCCATCCTGCTGCTGGTGACAACACGGTCCTTGCAGTTCGTCATGGACACTTCCGGGTCAAACCTTCCTGCTGACATCTGCACAAACCAGGCTCTGAGAGCAAGACCGAAGCCCTGAGTTTGGTTCTCTTCTCATTGTTCCTCTTGTCTCTTCCTTCAGGGAGAACGTGGCATGCCAGGAATGCCAGGCAAACACGGAGCGAAGGTACCTGCCTCCCACCATATTGGGGTGCTGAGTAGGTGGGTGGGAAGCTGGGGGAGCACAACTGTGCACACAGAGCCCCTTCCTAGGTGCCACTGTGCAGAGCCCAGCACCCCCTTCCCTGGCAGGGGAGGGGGAGGGGTGAGGGCAAGCAGAAGGAAGCAGTCCATCATCTAACATGTGACATCTCGCCAAGGGGAGGCTGGGAGTCTGGCCATTTCCTCTGTGCACCCCCTGGCTGCAAAAAGCCTCCCTGCCTTTCTTCTCTCTGCCAGGGGGCTCCTGGAATCGCTGTGGCTGGGATGAAGGTCAGTGGAACACCGCTGCCTTGAGGGGCAGGATGAGGGACACGGAGAAAGGAGGGAGCTGGGGCTTCAGGGGCTCAGTGGGGTGTTGGCAGGACCAAGGAGGGAGCAGGCAGGACGGGACACCTCTCTTAAAGCAGTATTTCTGCCACACATACAACTGGAACAGATGTTTACCTTGCAAGTAAGTAGCTCAGGTTGCTTTAGTGGCAGCACTCACCAACGCATTAGAATGGCCAACGCTTTCGGCAGCTACATGATTGCAAAGCACCAGAGACACGAGCAGGAGTCAATCTCCTAAACTCTCCTAAACTGGCTGGCAGGCAGGCAATAGGAACACCCCGGAGCACATATGTTCGGTGTGGCTCACATCTGGGTCTGCTCTCAGCGGGCAAAGCAAATGACCATTCTTTCCTCTTCTGCCTCCTGGTACCTCCCTGACCCTCACACCTGCACCCCTCACCCAGGGGTGACATAAGGAACCCGCTGAGGCTCAGTGCTAAGGAGGCCTCATTTGGCCTGGGACCGAAGGCCTAGGGAAAGGCCTGGATGCCACTCGCCAGAGGCTTCACCTTCCCCCAGAGCACCTTGCACGTTTGCACACACTACCCACCCACCCCCGCCCCACCCCACCCCCATACACGCACACCTCTCTCCTCCTTACCCCCACCTCCAGCTCTTATTTCTTTACCTGAGTCTTCTTCTTTTCCACACAGGGTGAGCCAGGGACCCCAGGAGCCAAGGTACTGATATAGAGGAAATGTTCTGGGCTGCAGGGTGCATGAGGTGTGGGGTGGAGGTGGGAGAACCTACTCTTGATCCCCAGATGCTGGCCTGGGCTGGGGGGCCTGCCTGAGCAGAGGGCCCGCCAAGGGGCTTGGGGCCAGGATGTACTGCAAGCCCCACGCCCCCACCCTGGCCTGGACCTCTGGCCAAAACTCGCACACCGGCCCCTGTGGGCAGTGACTGTCGTTCCCTGTATGTTTAGGGCTCTTGTTCCCTCTCGTCAAGGACAGTAAGAGGCGTGACATGAAAAGGTGTCTGTCCTCAAATACATTGGAGAAATACAGGTTTTTAAATGTTACACAGTTGTGGTTTGTTTTTGTTTTTTTTTTTTTTTTTTTTAACTACAGCCTTTCTCAGAGCCTTTCGATGCTAAATGTACCCTGGAAAGCTCTAGAAAGGCTAGACCTTGTGCAGCATTTCCAAACCTTTTTTGACCAGGCAATCCTTTCTTGAAGAAGGGCATCTCGTGGGACTAGTATTCTGGAGATTCTGGCCCAGGACACCTGCCAACCCAGCCCTCCCAGACACTCTTCCCATGCCTTTCTCTTCTTGTCCCCAAGGGAAACTCAGGAACAGCAGGGAAGCCCGGGCCCCCACATTTGATGGGAAAGAGGGAGCGGGGCTAGAATATCGTGTCTTTGATGTGTTCCCCCTTCATCCCAGCCTCACAGTACCCCTCCGGGGACCACCTCAAGGCTGGTGAGCCGCCTGTGTCCTCAGGAAGGGCAAGTCCTGGAGGCCTGGCAAAGCTTCAGAGCACACCCTTCCTGGGGAAGGCCTTGGCTTCCCAGGAGGAGAGCCTGGAGAGAGAAGGCCTCCCCTCTATTCTCTCTAGGGCCACAAGCCCCCTCTCCCTTTAACGCCTGTTATAGAGGTGCCCTAGCTAAGGTGCCTCCAGGCATAGCCCAGGCAAGGCAGGACCTCGCTTCCCTCTCCTCACCTGGCCCTTATCTGGCCTCTGCACCTTCCTCTCTCAGCTCTGGCCACTTGTCATCCAGCTCCTATCCAAGGGCAGGTGGCAAGGAGGTGACTTCCTAAGGGGTGGTGTGACCTCCTTTGTCTTCCTGGAAAGCTCACAACCCCAGGACCCTTGGCTTATATTATTCCATAAGAGAACCACAACCCCTTAGTCATGGAGAGTGGAGTCTGTTGTGCTGACCTGGTGGGGTGTTCGTGGGGGGACTCTCCTGCCATGGGCCCCTGTGTGAATGCAAAGGGACATCTTTGAGGCACGGACAGCAGAGGACAGGAGACTTGGCTGAGCAAGAGCTCGTCCAGTCACTGAGCAGCAACAAAAATGGTCTCAGGAGTCTCTGCGGGGCTTTGAGTGGGGGGTCAGAGGACGGGGAAGTTGCAGAAAGAGAGAGAGCGTACTCTGTCGGTGGGACTGTTGTCTTCACAGATGTCTTGGACAGCCAGCGCCTAAACCTTAACCCCAAACTGTCTGCATTTTCCCTGCAGGGTGAGAAGGGGGCCGCTGGTCCCCCCGGACTGCTCGGCCTCCTGGGGCAGAAGGTAGGTATTGCGGGCTCTGAACGGCGGGTCCTGTGGAAAGGCTTCTGTCCATTCCCACCCACCTTCCTGGCCCTTCACAACCACACCGGCCCCAGCCCCTGGGAACACGGCCAGATTCTGTTTGAGGGTGGGGGTCAAAGAATATGCATGGAAGAACTGGACTGGCCAAAAGAGGCTTCACAGTCAAAGAATTTTCAGTAGTTGTGACCTGGTCAGATCTCGTTAAACTGGCTATGAAAAACGTGCTTCATTAAAAAACAAAGACAGGCCCTCCCTGGTGGCGCAGAGGGTTAAAGCACTAAGAAGCCTAAGCCACTTTCGAATGAGTTTGATTTCCACCTGCCCAGAGGTGACCACATGGTGGTGCAGACCTCTCCTGACCCGCCCGCTGCTCCCCTCAGCCGTGTACTGCATCGATCTGCCTGTTCTGCTCCCCACTCTGTCTCTGGTGAATCCTCTCACCCTCTGCATTTCTGGTCTGTACGCCAATTCTGTATGAATAAATCTTTAAAAAAAAAAAAAAAAAGCAAAGACAAAAACACCTTGAGGTCACATAAGTTTGGGGAGAGCTGCCTCGAAGAACAGGCTAGCCGCTGGGTGGGGGCGTCACCCAGACCTCAGCCTGCCAGAAGCTCTCTGCATCCATCACTGAAGGCACGCAGGCACAGTGATGTTTCACTCAGTTTGTTTTGTTTTGTTTTTTTAAGATTTATTTATTTGTGCATACAGAACTGGGATACAGGCCAGAGTACAGAGTTGGTGAGAGGCTTCACCAGAGACAGAGTGGGGAGCAGAACAGGCAGATCAACAAAGTACACTGCTGAGGGGAGCAGCGGGCGGGTCAGGAGAGGTCTGCCGCGCCATGTGGTCACCTCCGGGGCAGGCGGGAATCGAACTCATGCGGAAGCGGCTTTAGCTTCTCAGTGCTGTGCTTTAACCCGCTGCGCCACCAGGGAGGGCCACACTCCACATTTCTTAACATCATTTGGCCCCCCGGGCCCTTTTTTGACACATTTCACATATTCCCAAGCCCACTGAAGGAGGGTTCTATGGAACACGCTTTGAGAAAGTGCTCCAGTCCCGGGTGGATGGATCTCTTGTTTCAGCTCTAACCCTGTTCCCCTTCAGTAGCGTCGTCCCTCCTCAGTCCCAGGGCTGCATCAGGCTGGACAGGCTTCTGAAGGACTCTGGACCCCAGCCACCCTGTGCCACAGTCCCTGCCACAGTCAGCCTAGACTGTGGGGTCTGCTGCCCTCAAGACTTTGAACTGTGAGAGAAGAGAAGGGAGAGTCGCCTCCCTCCCGAGCTAGGTAGACCCCTGATGGTGACACTACCTTCCACCCCCAGGGAGAAAAAGGCGATGCCGGCAACTCCATTGGAGGAGGCAGAGGAGAGCCCGGGCCCCCAGGGCTCCCTGGGCCCCCAGGGCCGAAGGTGAGTCTTTGCTGGGATGTTCAAGGGAGATGTTGCCTGTGGCTTTTATCCTCAGCCCACCCTCGGGTGCCTATGCCTTTATCAAGGCTCCTTTGCTTTATCAAGTCTTCTGTTCTAGATGGTTTTTCCAGTGAGTTCTAGAAAGGTCATTTGGAATGAGCTGCCAAGTAGCAGCTTTGTTTGATGACCCAGGAGCCTGTTTCCCTGAGGGGCAGGTAGCTGAAAGGTAAGAGTCAGGGCAGGATGGTTGCAGGGCTCAGGACAACCAGAAGACCTGCTCGTCCAGGCCCTAGACAGGCCACAGGGTGGTGAGCTCGCGCTGCTCACAGTGAAGCGGGGAGCTGCAGTGAGGGCACGCTTGGGGCTACAAATGGGACCTCCCCAAGTCTGCTGCTCTGCACGAAAACTGCAGTGCTGGGTGTGGGCTAGCCAACGCAGATGCCTCCGGGGGTGCAAGTGAAGGGGCTCCTTGGTAGCATTTAAGGGAAGGACTAACTGTACCACATGGTGAAGCAGTGCATGCATTCATCATTCTCTTATCTGTCAGGGCGGCACAGAAAAACTGCCCTCAGCCTGCTCACAGCTCGCAGACAACACGTCTGGCATCTACTGGCCAGATCGAGACTATGTAGTGGAGGGAACCACAAGGAACCCCCAGAGACAGGCAGGATGACTGCTGGGACTAGAACCTCCCTAGCATGAGCCCCCCCCCCCCAACTTTGCCAAAGGCAGCCCTGCCCAGACATCTCGTGCTAGAGCATGTCCTCCTCACCCCACAGGGCACGTCCTGGCTCTTGATTTGGGATTGAGAAATCCCCAAACACCTAGTCACTATTTCTCTGCTTTCTGGGACAAAGGAGGGGAAAGTCAGGAGACGGCTCCCCAACTCACCGCCTCTCTCCAGGTGCAGCCAGAGAGTGGAGTGAGGGACAGGTGTGGAGTAGGCCTCCTCCCCCTGCACCTCAGGTCCTGGGGCTCAGGAGCCCCTCTTCTCAAGCCCAGGGCCCCCTCCTCCCCTCTTGTCCCTCAGGGGTGCCCACGCCAGTGTCCCGGGCTCCAAAATGACCTCCTCAGGGTCAGAGCTGATGACTGTCCTTAGTTGGGGGCTGCTACAGAAATAGGCACGTGTGACTTGGGCACCAAGACCAGACAGCGTGGAGTGGACACCAGCCATGGGGCAGAACTCAGAGAAAGAAGAGGGTAGACAGGGAGGCTTCCAGGAGGAGGTGAGATCAGCGCTGGGCCCAACAGAGAGTAGGAGGGGTCAGGTAGGGGTGAGTAGCAGAAGCCCGCGGGGAAAGAGACGGCCAAAGAGGCTTACTACCCAGCACAGCAATGGCAGCATCATCGCTTGCCCCTCATAGCCACCCTGCACGCCCTCCTCCTATCTCTCTCCTTGTCCAGGGAGAAGCTGGTCTCTGTGGCCAGGCTGGTCCCCCAGGACAGCAAGGACAAAAGGTATGGAGGCCCCAGACCCAAGAGCCGCAGAATGACGGTCAGCTTGGGAGTCTAAGGCCCTGGCTCCTTGCCTTCTAACTGGCTTGGGTTTTAGAGAAACTTCTGAGGAGGCAGTGATGTAAAGGCTGCCCAGGGACGGCCCCTTGGCCTGCAGTGTGACCCAGGTTGCCTGGGGCTCCCACTTCTCTCCAGGGGGTCCCCATTGAAAGGTCCAGTCAGCGTGGCTATGGCCCCTGCCGGGAAATACAATGGGCAGAGGGAGGGCGATGGCCTGGACCTCCAGGTTGGCGGGCTGCAGGTCATCAGGAGGTAAGTTCCATGGAAGGTCTTGCTTTCCCTTCATATTTACTTTCTACCTTGATTTTTAAAATTGTCTTTGATCTCCAATGAGAACTATGGTGAGCCCGTGGCCCCCTCTCTGGCCCCCAGCACAGGCTTGGGTAGTCAATCTCCATGTCCCTAGTTTTAGCCTCACTTAATGCCAGTTTTGTCATGCAACAGGGGGAGCCTGGAGCAACTGGAGAGCAGGGACCAGCCGGCCCCAAGGTATGTGCAGCTCTCACCTGGGTGGCAGCACCGTGTCTCACCCCTCTGCGGTCACAGTGTGAAACGAGCTGACCTGGGATCTCCCTGGGGAGGGGGCATTCTGGTCCCAGGAAGAGGAGCTTCCTGTGACAGCACAGTCCTGGTGGATGTGGTGTGTCTTGTCTAGAGTTGTCACACAGTGTCTTCTCTATTCTTGAACCGGGCAGCCCCTGAGAATACGTGGGAGCCCCCGCAGGCCCACCTTGCTGCTCTGAATCCACGCGTGTGAACCCACGTGTGTGCAGCCACAGGCACGGGAGTTGCCCACGGTCCTCAGCTCCCCCTGGTCCACCCTGGGCTGAGAGTTCCCTTGTCTTGCAGGGCCCCAAGGGAGAGCCAGGGAAAGGAGAGCTGGTAGATTACAATGGCAACATCACATCCTCGCAGGTATGTGAGCGTCAACTCAGAGACTGTGGATGAGGAGGTGCTCGGAGCCTCGGGGCTCAGCACCAAGGCCCAGGTGGCCCAGATGGGCTTCAACACCCCATTAGTGTCCCCGAGGCTGGGCCGGCCACTGCACAGAGCTTCCAGAGAGTAGCTCTCTTGCTTTCTCCCACTAGCCTCCCACCATGCGGCCTCCAGGCAATGCCCTCTCATTTCACCTCCGGTAGCCTGCTCTGGGGCCCCAGCTGGCTTGCTTTCCTGCCCTGGTACCTGACAGTCCCCTCTGGGCCACCCTGGCACCCTGCTGGCCCCTCCAGGGTTCCTGGGCTTCTTTCCTTCAGGGCTCACACTCCTCTTTCACACTGTAAATGTATCCTCTTAAAACATCTCCCTTTGTGTCAAGTTCCTCACGTTTCGAGTTCATAGGGTCTCCACCCCCCAGCTCATAAGAGCAGGACTTCGCTCCTGGGCACTCCCACATCTGGGGCTGCCTCATCCTTGCTGTGGGGGTATGGGGATACGCTGTCCTGGGGGCTCTAGGGTGAGCAGCAGGCCTGGTGTCTAGCCAGTAGCTCCCCACCCCCAGTTATGACAACAGAATTGTCTCCAACATCAGCAAGTGTCCCCTGGGGGGCAAAATCGCCCCAGGTTGAGGACCACTCCTTAAAGGACACTTTATACTTGTGTGAAACCACTGACAAGGAGATCAACTCTGTTTTATTTTCTGCATGGGTCTAAATTTTGTGATACAGCATTTGTCTAAAGTGGGGCACATGAGAACCTCGGAATGACACAGAGCAAGGGAGGGTCCCTAGTCAGTGGACAGAGAATTAGAGGTGTTGCTTCTCACCCTCTTTGAAAAAGCGGGGGGAAGGCTGCGGTCCCTTTTAGGGTGTCCAGGGCCTGAGGACAGTCTCGGGGCAGCCTTCGGTAGGATGTGGGGCGTTCTCTGTGCAGTGATTCTGAACCTGTGGGAGAGGTAGCACAGTGAGCCTGGGAGGCGTGAGCCCACCTAAGAGGGTCGGCCTCTGCTGTGCTCCTTCGAGGTGGGGGGCTCCCAGGCTGCATGGGCGACCCCTCTGATGGCTCTTCATTTGATTACATGATGTTGATTTTGCAGGAGATCCGAATGATGGCGTTGATGGTAAGGAAGCCTTCTTCCTGCTTTCCATGGGCCCTGGGCTGAGGGCTGTGGGGGGCAGCCTGGAAGCAAGGACTGGAGAGGTGGCCTCCAGGGAGCAGGCACTGGGCTCCTGGGCTGGACGGAGGCCGCAGTGCTGGGCAGAGGGCGAGGCCAGCCTGAGCAGGGCCTCACAGGGCCGCCCGTGCCGTAGGTCCCGGATGTTTTCTGGAGGGGCTCGCCACCACTTTTGCTGTGTACCCGCCTCGTGGTGTCCATGTACAGCAGGGCTGTCCAGGAAACAGGCATAAGGGAGGGGGTTTCCGTGTTTCTCCTTTTCTCAACGTTCATCTAATAAAGTGCAGAAACCTAAAAAAATCAGCAGCATTCTCATTTCCCCTTTTCCTAGAAATCAGCTTCATGCTCTGTACTTAGAAACCAGTGAATTTCAAACCTGGATTTTATGTATTTGCCTACCAGTGATTGGCCCTTGGTAAATATTTGTAGCTAAAATGACTATCACCAGGTTTAGCTTCCAGGTGGAGAAGAGGAGGAAGATCTTTAAAGTCTTAATTACTGGAATTTCATTCTACTTAATATTTTTCACTGCCAAGAGCCACAAAATAATTTAGGAGGACACAAATGCAGAATCAAACCCTAATCAGATGATGCCCCACCCAGAAAATGGTATTAATGATGTGATTATGCAATCAATGAATTTCATTTGTGGACATTAAAATATATTATTTGAAATAGCTATTTAATGAAACACTTTCCTGGAAATGTTTTTTTTTTTCTTTTTAAATTAACTGTGAGATATAATGTGCATACAATAACATTTTAAGGGTGTAGTTTGATGAGTTTTGACAAATGTATATACCTGTGTATCCACCACACCAGTTACCCAAAACGTTCCTTCATGTGCTTTAGGAGTCTGTCCCACACCTACCCCTACCCCAGGCCACTGCTGATCTGCTTTCTGGCCCCATAGATTATATTGGTCTTTTCTAGAATTTCATAGAAATGAAATCACATGCCCCTGTCTGATTTCATGAGTTTAGGCTTCATTTATGGTGTGGCATGGAGGATGATAGTCATTTTAACTACAAATATTTACTGAGGGCCAGTCATTGGCTTCCTTTTTCACTGCTGAGTAGTAGTCCATTGTGGCTGTACCAGCCTTTCAGCTATTGATGAACATTTGAGTTGATTCCCAGAGACATCTGTAGGTCACTTTTAGGGGAGGTCAGGCTCGTCTTTTTGGAGAGGAAGGAGTCCCTTGATGCCATCAGTAGGGAATGCTCCCAGGGGTCCTACCACTCACTTGAACCCAAACACACTCTGTGCTTCCCTGCTTTACATGTGGGCCAGTCCCCTGCACTGATAAAATGTTTGAAAATGACTGATCTCTCTAAGCCAATATCCACAGACACCCCTCTGGCCAGAGGTCACTCCTCCTTGGTCAGGAAGATCCTTCACACATTTTTCTTTCCTCTCTTAGGGGCCCCCTGGTCTTCCTGGGCAAATCGGCCCACCCGGAGCTCCAGGGAACCCAGGCCAGAAGGTAACCCTTGTCTTGAAAGGAAGAAGCAGAACTACCAGGGCTCTGTATATATGGGACCCCCAGACACCCCCCGCCCTGTGACCCTCTCATCTCAGCACCACCCTCATACTACAACAGACAGGTGGCAGGGCTCCCAGTTTCTCCCAGTGCTCCAAGGCTCTGCAGACACTGCCCATATCACAGCGCTGCCACCTTAGCCCTGCCTTCTTCCCTTGTTATCTTTGGCTCCTGTAATTCACAGGCTATGATGATGTGGTGGACCCCAAGTCTAGATGAGCCTCTCCATCTAGCCAGACCCACAGTAGGGACCCCATCTAGCCAGACCCACAGCAGGGACCCCATCTAGCCAGACCCATAGCAGGGACCTCATCTAGCAGGGACCTCATCTAGCCAGACCCACAGCAGG